TTTAGATGTGGTGTAGTTCATTCAGACCATCAGCGGCGTACCATATGGCTAAGGAAGATACTCACACATTGGCAAACTACAGGTGACTACTAAACATACACCATATTCATATTCTTGCTAGCTACGGGCTGGTTTTACTCGAAATTTGACATTTGTAGCTTGTTTATGATTATGGATCTCATCTCTAACAAGTAAGTCATTTATGATTACGGGCAGGGTCTTATTTTTAAAGAATAACTGTATTTAAAACTTTTAAACTGATATCTGCCAAACGTTAAGTTGATTTCTCGATTCTCTGGCAAACAAGAATCACCCTCCTACCCAAGTCAACTAAAGCTAAGCGAGCGTTAAAAAAAATGGACCCCTTTTGCTCGAGCCAAGGGTGACAATAGCGATCGTGCGCGCTCTGATTGTCACGCCTTAACCAAGTTGAGCCGGCTGGGAGAGCGAAAGTGTTTATACATGGAGAAAAGTTTTGCCCGCTAAGAGCATGACCTTCAGCCTGTTCCAGGCACCCAGAAAGCAGAAAGTCGGGTCCACGGGGACTGGGAAAGCGGGAAAATGAAAAATAAAACGGGTACCTTTCACTTTCCCGCGTTTTCCATACTCGTTTGCGTCTTCCCCGCTAAATGAGAGCCTGGAACAGGTTAGATGACCCTTCCATTGAAAAGGGGTGACCCGGCTTGGCTTCTCGCCTAGCTGAACCAACTTTTTGTTTCACATACGGTTCTCTATGTTTTGTGAGAAAATCTAGGAAAGGCTGGTTCGCCCAGGGTAGCTCAGTTAGGAGGGTGACCCTTCGAACCAGCATAAGTTTTCTTCATATGAGTGAGGCCTTACTTGTCAAAGGAGCTGAAATAACTGAATTGTAATTTTTTTGTTACTCTACAGGGTCATTGGCTCGCTGTCAAATTTGAAGGAGTTTTCGGAAGCCTTCAAATGTCCCTTAGGTAAAGGGATGAATCCGGAGAAGAAATGTCAAGTGTGGTGAACACAATATCGTCAATTTAACCCCGTTTTCTACAATTTATAACTTAGCTCTTAAAAAAATAACGTAAGCTAAATCATTATAACAAGATTCTTGATTTTTGTTACATATATGCCACATGATAACGGCTGGAAATTCGGCTCATCCTCGGTATAAGAACTTGTTAAACTCACCGGTGACGTAAAACAAAAACAAAACAAAGAAGTCAACACAACAGAACCTAGAAAAACAAAAGGTGCGAAACAAGGAAGAAGTTCACAGGTTCTTACACCGAGGTAAACCAGGAAATTCACAGTTTACACTGACTACACCTGTCGCCGCGAACTAAAAGAAGTGTTTTAGAAAACTAAATTAACTCCGTAACTAATCAAACTATTCTTCTAAAGCTCTTGTTGATATCATGGCTTCTAGTTCGCATATAAAGCTTCCGCTGATGTACCGGCATAAGGACACCTAACGCCTTACTGATTTACTTTTTTGGGGTTTTTGTTTGGTTTTGTTTTTTCGCACTGGTACCAAACTTCTTCTGATGATTCTTGTAACCGTTTCATTCCCTGAGGCCAAAGTCAAAATTTAACAAAAATTCCAAATTTCACTCTGTAAAAAGCTGAACAACAAATATTTTACTATGTTAAAGTACAAGTGGAGAGGTTTTACTTGAATAATAGCACCCTAGGATTTTATCCTCGGATTCAAAAGTTACAACCACTCTATGGGACTGCATTATTCACGTCAGGAATAAAAGAGTTAAGGGGCCGATCATTTGACTTTTGAGGGGGGTATGGGTGATTTCAGAAAAAAAAATCCTGCAGACTGATTTCGAGGGAAAAAATTCTTGCAAGGAAATACCTGGCGAAAAAAAATCCTACGCTGAAAAAAAATCTGTCATGGCGTATAATGCTCGAAAAAATCTTACACCGTTGTATTTCAGAAAAAGACTCTATCACCAAAGGTCAAAAAGGTCAAAAAATTCTAACACAAACCAAATCACTCATACCCCCCCACAAAAGTCAAATGGTAGGCCCCTAAATGAGCCTCTCACACTCAGGTAATCTACAATTTGTAAAATCGACGCCTCGATTTACGACGCTGAATTGATGGCTCTTATGTATGATTACGTCACACGAGCTAGAATTTCACCACCAAGCTTCGTTCGTAAACATAATTCTTCGCATTTGCACTCTTTATGCGTGGGTATTCTCGCTTTTCACCTCTACTGCCTTTGGAATTCATTTATGCAAAACTTCGCAACTTTATACTTTCAAAACGAGGCGTGGCGGTGAAATTTGCTTTTCTGAGGTGAACATGCATAACGACTATTCGTCGTATGAATGCTAATTGCACATTTTGTAATATAACGAAAAAATACATATTTTGTACTTCAGGATTAGTTAAGAAGAAATGTTGAATTGTTATCGCTATAATGAGCACGCAGATAACTTTTGTTCTACATTTTATGAATAAACACGAGTGTGGTACACAATCCGCTTGGATGAGGCTATGGCTACTACGTTCACACGGCACTGAACGAATTTTCGATCGGCTACAAAATTTGAGCGGCCACTTCGTTCACTCAGGATCTTTCAATATATTCGCTCTGTTCACACTGTACTTTGAACGGCTAGTACGTCTTAAATTTTGTACGATTGAGGTGATTCCGTGTAAACGGAAAAGCCTGCACACACGAATTTTCAACCGGCCGAAAATTCGTCCCGTGCCGTGTGAACGTAGACAATATCGCTTAAGGTGGCTGAACACAGTTTTGGCAGTTTGTGATTATGTGTCATTTGCCAAATCATGGCAAGAGAAAGGTTGCTGCTCACAAGCTGAAACTTGGCAAGTGAAAAATGTACTGATGAAAGATTTTGATTAACAGGTAAAAATTGACGTTTTCGTAGTTTCCATGACAACATAAACGATTGAATACAACCTTAAAATTTCACTTTTTCTCAGTTTACATAAAATTCGCTCATTAGATTTTCCTATAAACTTGCACACAGCTTACTATAATTAATCATTACCATTTGAAACTTATTTGACCAAATTTTAACAGACGGGTTTTTAGATAATCAATAATTTAATTGTACTGTAATTATTAAATGTGTCACAAAATTTGTCTGTTCAACTTCGATTTTAAAGTTCTCGTTACTTAAAATACGATGAAAGGAAAAATTCTGCCAAATATCACAAAATTCTAATGAGTAGATTTTGAGAAATCGTCTTCTGTGTTCCATTGCTTTTTCGCCGCCGTGTTGGTCTGTCTAATTTAAAACACGCGCCGTCACGCAAATTACCGCTGACCGCCCGCAAAACTGTGTTCAGCCACCTTAAGCAACGAAGTTTTTGAGCGACGCACGTTAACCGGAAGTGGTCTTTTTGCAACTTGGGGAGTGATTTTGACCAAATTTTCAGACAAATCGTCGCTATGAAAGAAAAGACATTTAGAAATACAAATTGGGTAGAGCCAAGGCATATTAAAAGGGAAAATGCTTTCGGTTGACATGCGTCGCTCAAAAATGTCTTTGTTTAAGCTCCCTAATGTCCACACTACAGTATATATCAGATAGTACTTCCGTTCACGCGCGGAGTCTGTGACGGAGGGAACCTGCGCCGCGCCGATCTTAAAAGTGGATCGTCACTGACAACGGATATGGTTCTGTGCCACTTTTTGGCGCATGGTGAACAGGTGTTCAAACTCTACAGGATAACTTTTCTTGCCGATATGAAAAACTCTCCCGTATGGTGTGGACACAGCCTCACATTAGTGACGTCACATTTCAGGAACATCTTGCGTGGTCAATGTTTCAGGAGAAACCTGAAGCATTGATCCTGAAACATTGCACTCGTAAGTCCATTTTTAATACAAAAAAAATGTTTTAGACCATTTTTCGATACGTTTTACAAAGGTGCGTGAAGATGTAAATGTGAAACTACAACTAATAGCGGAGCTTCCGCGCGCACGCGCTACATTACTACAGAAATTTTCTCTAATTTTAGGTCAGTTTTCAGGACATTTTTTCCCCTTAAATCACCCACATCCTTCCTCAAACGGCAAATGGAGGGCTCCTAAAGTTTAGAATTGCAGTTGCTAAGGTTATTGCTTTTATCATCAGTAAACAAAACACTATTGCGCCGGGACGCGCAGCAATCCTATTTACAAGCAAGAGTTTTACTACATCGCCAAACGAGTAAAAGACGAGGCAAAGGGATGACAAATATTTTAACAACCACGTGCTCAGAGCTTTTTCCTTGGAGATATCAAGGAAGTATTCCTTGGTCTGGGTAATTAAGAGTTAGTCATGTTTACCTTGAATACTGCATTTAGCGCCCTGGGCGCTGGTTTAATTACCCGTGGAGAGGAAGGGCGCTAATTCGAAGGGGGGCGCTTATTTGAAGGGAGAGAGCGCTTATTTTGTTTTTTAAATTTTGGCTTCAGGAAAAACACTTCCTTAAATTCCAATAAATGCAAACTGTAGCAGAAAACTAAATCTCAGTTCTGTTTTCTCCAAGGTTCTCAAAGTTTTAGTGTTGAAATTCTCCGATTCTACTTCTACTTGTATGCTGCATATTCAGTGATTTAGTGTGGGGGTGCTTATGTGAAGGAGAGAGCTTATTCGAGCATTTACGGTAATTTGCTTCGCTCCTTTGGTCCTTTCTCAGGCGCTTCGAAAATATCATCATCATCATCATTACTACTATTATCGGTTAGAACAACACTGATTAACGGCACATGACTTGAGTAAAAAACAACTTTTATTTTGAGCGGGTACACTTTAGGGTTTTATCCTCAAACTCTAAATTTAGAAATCCTTTGTACAGCAAAGAAAAGAAAAGCAGTTTTCACTACCATGAAATCCGAGCTACGAATTAAGACTAACTAATACGGTCACTGCAAAACTTGACTCAACCAGGTCACTTTTCAAGAGTGTGCGTTCTTGAAAACAAGGTTAGCGATCTCGAAGAAGAAATGTAAGGTAATCACGTTCACAAGAAAAAAAACTGTGAAAGCGATTACTTCCGATACTGAGTTAAAAAGCGCCCTTAGGAAAATCATAAAAAATCGTTTAAACGCCAAAGACTCAAGACAATAATGAACCACAGAGACAACAAGGAAGAAGTTAACTTGGCACCAGTTCCCGACGGATGCTTGGAGTTGGGTGATGTGGTTGGTCCAAGGCCTGGGTTGCGAATGGGAACACGAATAAACACAGAGTCGGTATCAGGCTTCTTGCAGGCAATTTTAGGCGGCGCCAGGCTTCGGCGCATAGAAGGACATGCAACAGCGGCGTTGGGACTCTGAAGGGTGCAAAGAAAAATCATGTGAACTATCAGGTACATTTGGGAGACTAACATAAACAAGAGAAAAGGTTAACAGAATTAACAAAAGATCACTGAAAGAAAAATGTTTCGATTTTTGAAAGCAACCCCTTAAAAAGAGGATTATTAGCCAGGGGTGGTCCAAAAAAAAAAACTCAAAACATAAATTACAAGTAACTAGTTGATTGGTTAGTAGCTCAATTCAGAAACAATGTGTCTAAAATCACTCCAACTGTTGATGAGTGATTCTAGACACATTGGTCCAGAACTGAGTAGGATCAGCGGAGAGAGTAGACATCTGAGGCAGGGAGTTATATTGAACTATAGTTCCAGGATAGAAAGACAGTCTGTGAGAGGTTGTAGAGGTGAAAATCGGGATGACAGAGTGATCATGGACGTGTCTACTTCTGCGGGTTGGTGAACGCATATTGTAGCCTGGGTTCACTGCAACTAACTTGTTGGAGAACTAGATACAACATGGTCAGGAGCGCGTCGACTCTTCTTTGCTGTAAGGTTCTCCAGTTGAGTTCTGTAAGCATCTCTGCCACGCTTGCTAATATCTGGTATCTCCCCAGTGCCCATCTGGCGGCCCGTTACTGCTCCATTTCCAAATTGTAGGAACCATTGTTTTCCACGCCTTTACGAGGGTCCCAAACAGTACTACCGTATTTCAACTGGAGACGTAGTATTGATGCCTATGCCTTAGCTTTTAGAGTAGGTGAATTTACTCTGAGGTTTCGCTTAAGAAATCCTAGTGTCCTGTATCCCTTGGCAGTCATCTTACTAGTATGATTTTTTATTAGATACTGCCAACTTGTTCTTAGGAAATGTATGAAGATCAGTCTAGTGGATTTGAATGTGGATATTTAGGCTTGAAGGGTTAGGCAACTAGACGGTGGCGGCAACGAGAACGCCAAAAACCGGAGCGAAAAAAATTTCGTTTTCACTTTTTATGATATCAGAATGAAATTTCGTACCAGAACGAGAATTTGGATTGGAAAGAGGATCGACTTGTACGGAAACGCCAATGTCGTTTCGGTACCGTGTAAACAAATATAGAGAAATACATGGCGACGTAACGAACTCGCTCCAGAATGAAAGTCGTTCCGGTATCATGTGAATAGCCAGCCCCTTACTGAGGTGCAGAACAGCAATCTCTGCACCTGCTCACAATTTTTGGTAAATTTCTTTCCGTAAGAACGTGTAATAGAGGAAGTAAACACATGGCCAATAATTTTACTTCCTCACTTTTGAACGTGGAAATTGGCAAAACTTTGACAAGGAGAGAGTTCAGTCAATACAGCGACGTTTTCGCAGCCGTCAAAGTCTGCTGCTTAAGCGCCCTTTCAACGAAGCATTGTTGGTACAATTCATTCCGTTTAAAAGATTTTCGTAATTTCCAGCAAGAGGTATTTTGGCAACTAAAACCTGAAAATATCTTGAGTTGTTGGAAATTGCCATGGTTGATTTACAGCGCTTCGCTTACAAAGCAACAGCATTTGCTCTTGTTTTGATCAGGGAAAGTGTTGCAAAGAAAAATATATTCATATCAACGTACCTTGTAATAATGCAAAGCACAGGGACTGTAAGGGACGCTGCATAGACATGGTACGCAGATAGGGGCTGACAAAGAGCCCTCTTTGGTTATACCATCTGCGCATGACTTCTTGGAGCACTGAAACAATAAAGGCGGGATTGATTTAGACAAACCTTTGTCCTAGTAGGAAACCCTTGAAAAGTTTCAACGTTGGAAAACCGCGGGGGTCTTGTTGGAGGAACAATTCGCGACGAAGTGTAACAACAATGTTAGCACAAGCAAAGCACAAGAATATCACACATGTAACAGGAACGTACAGTAGGGCAGGCAGCACTACAATACCCCTAGTCCCTCCCCCCCTCGCCCAAGAAGATATTAAGGGGACATGTTGTTGTTGCTGCACGAAATCAAAGAATTCTGGTCTTCGTCTCCGATTGGTTCAACTTTTAATTCCGTTGTAGGGAATGCTGCACAATTGTGCTCAAGCAGATTCATGGAGCTCGCTTAGAAGTCATTTTACCGCTGTCAGCCCAATGTGCCAAGTTGACTTTCGGGCGTCAATGTCGCCATCGTGGCAGCTGAATTATTTTTATGCACTACTTTCTTCTTGTATTGAGTTCATACGGCAAAAAGAGCTGTTACTCACCGAGGTACATTTTATAGCGGAGTCCGGACAGTCACCCCCATCAAGGACCACAAGGTATACGTTGGTGTTGGGTACAGCTACCATGGTATAAGCACCACATTTTAACTTTCCATGAACTTTACCACTGTTACAAGGAAATAAGAAGAGTGATGTGGAGGTGACGATTTATAATAAACACCTCATATACATTGTATCTAATGTGTTTCAAAAGATGTTCGAACAGAAATAGACTTAGAGTCGCTCTTCAGTATCGTTCGGCGATCATTTGGTTTATTTTTGTTATAATTATCATTATAGTAAACGCTGCCCCGCGCAACTTTTATCGTTACTGTCAAGCTATTAGCGCCTTTGATCAATTAACAAAAGCCTGACATTAATCAAATTATCTTTAAAGAAATCAAGCAACTTGCACCACAAACCTTGGTAGCGTGTCAGTGATCTTGTAGTTGGTGTATGTTTGACCAAGCTGAAAAAAAAAAACGGTTCTCTTTTGTAAAACTGTCTTACAGAATATATTTCATATTCACATTTATATCATAATGTGGAAGGACACTGGATGTAAAAGTAGATTTACCTCCAAGTCGTTACAGGCCAAGCTTGTGGAGATTATCCCTTTCTTCATCAAGTCTAGCAGCAATTCGGGATGTTTGTACGCAAGATGGACACGCTCGGACGCAATTCTGCAGATAAAGAAGAGATTCTTTCAAGGGTTACTTGAGAGAACATCCAGTATGAGAAGAGGCGGCGATGCAAATTTCTCTTTCGTAAACGGTCGCTGTCATTTTTAAGACACTTAGTAAATGTTTGACCTGTTATTGAGAGTGTTTCTCAATAAGATCGAGAAAGAAGAGGATCTTAACCCAGGGTGGAACCCGGATCTTTCGTATCCTAATCTCTCCCCCTAACCACTACACTAACCCACCGACCAGTCAAAATTCTGAAACACTTAAGTACATAGAGTAGCAAACTGTCTTTCTTAACCAATACATCAATAACATGTGATCCTCGCCCTTTCCATAACTTTTAACGTAAATTCAACTTAGGCTTCAACCTCGTTCTTTCTAAGACTACTCAAAAACGTATTATTTGCCTTACTGCAACTTAATCAAGTGAAAATATTGCATCCATTATAACTAAACGCATGGTGGTATCGAACGAGAAAAATGGCAACGACCGCTTAAAAAAGGGAAATAGGCGGTGCAGATCGGTTACTAGACAGTAACAGTGATCTTCGAAAACTACCACGCTTGAAAGGGCCAAAATAGTGAGTCGTGAAGACTCCTAAAATACTCTCACCTGTCTAGCCCTTTTGTGTTTAGTGTAAACTGTATCTGTTTGTTCCACTTGAATTTATTGGCTTTCAGTCTAGCTATTTTTGGAGTCTTCACTTACTTCAGGAAAGTTTGTGAGTTTGTGACGTTGAGGGTGGTGAATATTGTTCTAAAAATAGCGCATTTGGCTATTTCGATGGAACGGCGTGGACCCTGGGCTTGCGGTCTCCTACCCCGATTATGGCTCCTGTCGCCACTAATGTTTCCTTCTTTAGTTATGCCCAACGATTCTCAAGTTTAAAACACAATAACGCGGAGAAAGGTAAGAACTAGAGTCATTCCTTGATGGTAGGATCTCTTTAGAGATCAAATAACCTGCCTGGCAGGCGTTAGAAAGGAAAGGAAAAGAAGAGTTTGGGCGCGAGGGAAGCGCGAGAGGCAGGCGAGGAAGAGAGCTTCACTGGCGCCAAAAATCCCTTTTCCCTACCGAACAATTGTCGAACGCCTGCCACACGTGCTACAGATCAAAGCAAGGCAGTGTCTTACCTTGGATGGGACATGAACTGCTTGGTATAAACCACATAACCGTTTGGATCAATCAGCATACAGAAAACTGAAAGTATCAAAATAAATGGATAATTCAGTTTAGTTCCCGTATTTTTTTACAATGAAATAATTACCATAAGAATGAAGCCTTTATAAGTTACCTGAGCTCATTTTACAAATCTCTCCACTGTCAGAGACAATTTCGTGGATTTTGATCATTTTAAAATCTATACCCATCACAGCTCGTACCTTTATGATAAAGAAAAGAAATTAATAAGTTACTTAACAAACAGACAAATTAACTAATCTAAATGATATAAGAGCTAGCTCACGCGTTCATTACCCTCTGGCGATCACAGTTTTCGCGCGCTTTTCATGGTACTGACCCAACGGTTGCAGCTTTTCCCCGCATTTTTGGTATATTCAACAAGTTTTTTCCGCGCGAGTCACCAGCCTATCCTTTTTTGCTCTAACTGCTGATTGGTTAATAAATATAGCTGATTCTTCTGAATAACCAGGCGATACTGCGATTCTGCTTTTCTCATAGTCGTGGCAAGTCAATTGTAAAATCACGGAAGCTTTTATTCTTTTAACACTCACCATTGAATCGCTGCTGATAGTTTGACTTGTTGTAACCACAACTCCTGCCCCACCATTGTCCTGAAAACATAAAAGGAAAATGGAGATCCAATAAAATATTTAAATAATAGTTTCTGGGAACGATTCTTGTGACACAGGTCCTTCTGAGCCGCCTTTGTTTATTTTTTGTAAATTCTTGAATATTGCTTACCAAGTAAGGAACTGAGAAGGTTACTTTTCCTGGGTACGATTTCGCGGCGTAGTACCATGGTCGAGTAGTCGGGTCATACCTTGAAAAGAACAAAAAAAAAAGGAATGAAACATAAAAACGCACCCTTCTCATTCGTAAATGTGATGAACCACTTTTCACAGGCGGTAGAGCAGTTGGGGGAGGGGCAGGGGGTCCAAACGAATTTTCTGGGGCCGCAGCACCCCTATGTCACCCCTGTCACTAAACTGCTTTACAAGTGGTCCACAAAATGTTAAGATTGTGCTTGACATAACCCCTGGCATCAGCGACCTCAGAGCGTATCGACCCTCCCCCCCCCTCCCCCGAAGACCCAAGAACTACCCAATCGTCGGAAAACCTGCCTGTTTGAGCATTTTCATAAATCGATTACGGGACGCAGTGGACACTATCAACTTTGCTCGTGCCAACGAAATATGGAAAGGACATTTGGAGGAATTTAAGCAAGGGTATGCCCTGTTACGATGAGCCCTCCCTCCCCACCCTCTCTGTCCGAAGCTCATGACATGACGATAATGACAAAATTTCACCGCTGACCTGTTATTGTACGTCTGTCGCCCTGGATACTGCCTCATGGCACCAGAGTTGGTGGCGATATACCGCCAAGCTGCACTGCTACCAAGCACACGCATGGGGTTCCTGTTCCAACTGAGAAAAACAGAACATAATAATCAAACTTATTAAGGTCCCTGTTCCAGAAAGAGTAAAGCACAAAATAACGATGAAAATTTAAATCATGCTTTGAGGTCAAGGACGAGGGGATAATAATTTTTTAGCTGTACTGTTTGAGAACCGAAGGATGATATTTTGCTTCCAGACACGAAGGCTTAATCCGCCCCGAAGGTAATATACATTTAAACTCTTACAAGTGAAGAGGTGCAAAGATTGTAACCCTTCTAGTGACATTCATTTAAGTTGCATTTTTCCTAAGCACCGCTAGAAGTTTTACCAAAGAACGATTGCGCCAACAGCGAGTGAAATATTGTATTTCCTCGAATAAGCGCCAATCTCCTAGGATATAATATTAAAAAAGCGCCCCTCCCCTCCCCATCACTTTCTTAAATAGTAGTGATACAGGAGGAATGAAAAGATCTGAATATTATTGACGAAGATGATCTCGAGGATAATGACAGAATCGATATTTTAAAAACGTGCATGTATACCGAGAAATCTGTGTTAAGCGTTTAATGGGACTATGATACGCTTGATTACAACTACTGTTTGAACAAACATAAGTCTATTAATATTAAGTTTACGTTTCAAATAAAGATTTAGCCGAAACAAAGTTACACTTCGTTGAACGAAAAACTGAATAAGCGCCCTTTTCGATAAAGCGCCCATCCTTTAAGCCGTTACTTTAAATAAGCGTCCAGGCGCTTATTCAAGGAAAAACGGTATCTTCTCAACCTTGGGACAAGATAACAAGAGCAGGGCGTCGAAAATTCCTAAAACAAACATTAAAAAAACACTATTGAAGCCTATAGAATACTAAAAACGGATGTTTAGCGTAGATGAACAACTTGGTGCGGGTTTTTTGCGACACATTACCACTTTTCAATCTCCCTTGTGAGCCGTATATCCACCAAGACACCTTTCACCAAGGAAGGAGTCGGAGGCCGGTCGGTAAGTCCATCCACGTAATCAGAGAGGTGTCTTACGAAATCAAAAGTCTCCTGCAATGTGAACAACAGCACGTTAATGACAACACGAGCACTCAGTTCTCCATCCAAACACCGATATTAAGGCAAATGCACCCACAGGCAGCTGGACAAAGCAACAAATTGAGCAAAACCTAAACATACCTAGCTGAAACAATGGGGTGTAAATACAGGAGAAGGTACGGAATGGCAAAGTTGAAGTAGATGAAAACGGAGAGTAATTAAGTTTTTGAAAACTGCTCAGCCTAACATTTTTCAAAGCTCATCTCTGTTGTTTGAATGCGCGAGACATTTCTTGTTTGTCAAGCGAAGCTGTGATCACGTGTCATTTACACTGAGTTATGTCTATGCTAACGTTTAGTTGGCTAAGGAATAACCCAAACGTCGTACGTTTCATGAGACGAACCAAAGTTTCATTTGGGTCGACCTAAATTAAGTTAAGATCGTCTGTTGGGTATTAGGACCCGTCGAACCAATCAAATAAATCAGACCAAAAAGCTATTTTAAAACATTCTATCCCGAACGAAGCTAAATATACATTAACAATCACACAAATTTTTAATTTATTAGTTTACATGTAGTTCTTTCCATGTGAAAATCGTGATGTTGACGTTTGGCGTCAGGCCTGAGCGATCGAGTGAGGTTGAGTGAGAGGTAATACTGAACAAAATGGACTACACTGCTGTGACGCAGAAATAGCAATAGAAACCTACCGGTGTATTCTCAAACATATACGGGTCCTTAAAGCAACTTGAACTCAGGAAGTAACTAAAAACAAGACAACAAAAATCAATGACTATTCAAGATATAATGCTATTGTAATGTTTTACAGTTAAACAACAAGCCAGTTCGGTCGTTCGCCAATGTAAAAAGAAATTAGAAATAGCCTTTGATTTAAAAAGCAATTGTTAAGATAGAGAGATAATATGGTATGATATTTAAAAGGATTAAATTCAAATTAATAAATACTTACTTGTCCTCTTCCCGCATGGGACTTTTGAGGGATAATGAAACAACAAATTCAAATGGAACATAACAAGGTAAAGAATCCAACAGCTGGTAGGAAGCGAACCAGTTGGCTATTTTGAACTTGGGCCGAGTTCCAGCTGGCGGAAGGAGCGGCAAACTTAATAGGGCCTCGGGATTAGGGTGTGAGTAAAATGCAGGGTCGGGGCCCGGGGTCGGGGCCCGGGGCCGGGGTCGGAGTCTATCTTCTTTTTTAAAAGAATGCTGCTTTAGGGTTAGGGTTAGGGTTAGGGTTAAAGTTAGGTTAGGGTTAGGTTAGTGTCAACCCTTACCCTAAACCTAACCCTAACCCTTAAACAGCATTTTTTCAAACAAGATAGACCCCAGCCCGACCCCGCATTTTACTGACACCTTCCGGATTACAAGTCCAGCGCGCTCTGACCACTCGGCCACGTTGCATGATATACATCTATGAATCCAGTGGCGGATCCAGCGGAGGGGCCCGGGGGGGCCCGGACACCCCCCCCTCCCGTTATTTCTAGACCAAAATGAGGTCCGAAGGGCCGAAAAGATTTAGTTTTTTTTTTTTGACGGGCCGCCCCCCTTATCTCAGGGTCTGGATGACCCCCCGCACCCTGCCCCCCAACCCCCATCTGAAGGTCTGAATCCGTCAATGGAACACGTATGGACACGGACATGAAGTTAACTCACTTTGAACGAGACAGCGTCGCAGGAAATGAAGTATTGCTCAGAAATGCGATGGGTTTGTCTTCAATAATAGAACCAACTTTTAAGTCTTTCACAAAATCATAGCGGTGGTAGAGGTCTGGCTGTGGGTACGGCTTGTGAGAGACTATTTCCTACAAAAATTAAAAAGCGATAAACTTAATAAATTATAGATGGCAATTTTAATAGATTCACGTATTTTTGAATGGAAAAAGTAAGCGAGGGAAGATTTAAGAAAAGGACTGAGACGTGGGCTTCACAGATGTCTTGGAAACGTTTAGGAGGCGAAGAAGTAGGGCAAAATTCAGTGAGAAAAATCTATTACTTTACAGTAAAGGGCGGGCTAGTTTGTTGAATAATCTTAATGTTTTAATCTCAGTTGAAAACAAAGATTTGAATTTTAAAATCAATTCATGTTTTACCCGATGCCTTTTATGTACGCTAATGAGTCAAATGGAAATAAGAAGGATGGAACGCATTTCTTTATTTCGTATTTAATAAATGATTTTACTGGATAAGAACTAGTTAACACTATGGTCAATAAACTGTGAACAATCTATGCTGAGAGATTATTCGTGAGGTTAAAGCGCGTATTTGGGTGGATTTTCACTGGCGCATAATTTTTACGTGCGTGTACAAGCATGTAAATTTTACTTGCGTAAATAAATAGAGGCAAGGTAAAAAAGTATCGAGCTTAAACATGACGTTGAGCGAGGTTCAACTTTTATGTTTAGGCGCGACCTTTCATGCATTGCCTCTATTTTATTTGCGAACTTAAATTTTACCCACTTATGCACGTAAAAATTACGCGACAGTGGAAATCCACCATTACCTTGGTATCGAGTTCGTCGGAAGCTATAACAATGCACACAGCAAAGTTGGTGTTGTTGACAGGCTTCCAAGAGTAAGTAAAATCAGTTGTTACTCCACGGTAACCTAATTAAAATAAAGATGATAAAATCAGAAAAAATAACTAAAAGGGCGGTGGAAATATAAGTTGAGGCCAATCTAGACTTCCTCTGTTTCTACCATTTGAAGGGGGTAAGGGAGGTACAAATCTCATCAGTTTTCCCAGCCGAAATCATTTTTTGGATCCCTGTATGCCTCCAGTTCTACTCCTAGTGGCCCAAAATCCCAGCCTCAGTGACTAAAACCTCAATTTTCCACTCCAAAATAGCCAAATCTCACAAAATGTTTTACACTTTGAAGGCATTTTTTCATTTTACAAAATTCACAATTCTTTTGACAATTTAATTTTGGTACTCTTGCGGGATGAAGGATTTTACTCCTCTATTCTCTGGTTCTTCAAAAAACTACAAAACGATATGAAAAGAACGGAAAGCTGCTCCAAGCGTTTTTCTTGACATTTCTCTGTCAAACGTCCCTAGTTAGATCTCTGAGTTATAAATGTTGCTGGCTGGAACGTCTTGCTTCTGTGATGTTTTTAAAATTATCCTTTAAAGGTCAACTTAACTTGGATTTGTCCAGAAGTTAACTGCAGCTACATCCTAATCATAGGCATCGAAAAGGATTGCAAAATATCAACTGCCAAACGTTTTATCCACATTGACTAAAGGCAACAGTTACAAATAAAATAAACATATACGTGCAGAAAGAACGCAAAGCAAAGAATGCATTTATTAAGAGAAAAGAAGCGCTGACAAAAACCTTCAGCCTTTGCCTGAAGGAAAGCATTACAGACTGTTATCTGGAGTACTCTTTTGTATGGAGCCGAATCGCGGACCTCTTGAAGAAAGAGGACGTACGAAGGCTGGAGAGCTGTGAGATGCGGCTTTGGAGAAAGGTCTTAAGCATTTCTTGGTCTGACAAAGTCCTTAACGAAGAAGTATTGAGGCGTGTGAACTGTCGGTGAGGGGAGGGCCATCATAACTGTTATCAACAGAAGACAGAGAGTCTGGCTTGGTTATACGCTATAGCATGATGATCATGTCCCTTTAGTTATTTAGGGGAGAATATTAGGAAAGAGGCCATCTGGAAGACCTCGAGCGGGAATGCTGGATAGAGTAAAGGATGACAGCCCTTACGTAGCGGTCAAGAGGTGCGCCTTAGATCTAGAACTATAAGGAAGGACCTGCCTGTGGGCACAAAACACACATACACATACGTGCAGCGTGGCTTTACCGTTAAAATTTGGATCGCCTCGAGATAACACCCTCTCAGATCTCAGGGTCTTACTGCCTGTCTCTCTCTTCATCATAGACGAAAGGACATCGGAAAAACCTGCAAAAAACAATTCAGGAAAACGAGGATGAAATTTGGCTACTGCACTGCTTTGGAAATAATGAGTACTTGTTCAATAGTTTTCAATAGCTATAGTAGCTAAGGAGCAAATCAGAGAAGGATGCCGGGCCGAAATAACACAAACTAGAGAATGTCCAGGGGGGATACTCGGCTGATTCACAGCATCTTAAACTAAATTTTGAATTTTTAAGAAACCTAAGTAACTACGGCGACGACACCAAGTAAAACGACAATTAAAGGTAAAAGATGTGGAAGATTCGGGCTCTTTTAAACTTTCCTACGATTGCGCCGATTTGTTCAAAGTGAGTAATTTTGGCACAGTTTGACAAAGGTTGTTGCGTTTTACAACCATGGTTTGCTTTTCAAATGACGGTATTATCCGTTAAAATAAAAATGAAGTTAAAGGGAGACAAACTTCCTGTTTTTTAATGGATGAACTGAAGAGCTCTTCCACTTCGTAGGTAAAAAGAAAACAAAAGAAACAAAACGGAGCAGTATCTTGCCTTGGCTTAGTCTCTAGCCGTGGGTGTCTCAAAGCGCTGAGGTACTACCCAGCCGGGTGGGTAGTGCCGACAAAAGACAAAACCATCGCATTTCTAAGCAATACATCGTTTCCTGGGACGTTGTCTCGTTCAAAGTGAGTTAACTAATCCAGATTAGTAAAATCCAACTAGTGTTCCATTATTAATGCTGCGTTCTGATTGGTTGAGCTACTACTAGGCTATATGTTATAGCCCACTAGTAGCGAAAAGCGCGGGCTTTTTGGCGGCAAAAAGGATTATAGTCTAGCTTTAACTAGCTAAATTTTTTTTATTCTCGATATTTTTGACCAACTAGTTGGATTTTACTAAAACAATTGGATTTTACTAAAACAATTATTCCTCTCGCCCTCATGGCCTTCGGCCTCATGGGCTATTGACTCAGAGCCCATTCGGGCTCGAGGAATAACTGTGAAATATTTGTGTCCATATACGTATATGGAGGCAGCGTGGCTGAGCGGTTAGTGCGCTGGACTTGTAATCCAGTGGGAGGTATCGCGGGCGGATCGAGACACCCACGGCTGGAGACTAAGACTGTATCTTACCGGGACTAGTTTCCATGTCACTAATCATGATCACCACAGGATCTTCTTGAATTTCTTCCGGCTCGGGAAGCTGGGGATGAACCAGTGCTTGGCCGGTGTTGGTTTCAATAACGAATGTGTAGGACAGCTCACCGGGACCGAACGACTGGGAAAAAATTGTTTTACATGGAAAGGTTTTTACTCGTGACATCACGCTTATTATTCAAAGACGAAGCGGCTACTTACCACAGAGTTTTGAAGAAGTTCACTCAGTACTATATCTATTCCCACAACACCTATCAGAGACTAGAGTGAAAAGAGATATGAGATCTACGAAATGATGTTTTCGTTAAGGCTATCTGACTGACAGACTGACTGACTGACTGATGGATGGACTGACGGACGGATGGACTGACTGACTGACGGGCGGATTGAATGACTGACTGACCGACTGACTGACTGATGGAGGGACTGAGGGACGGATGGACTGGCGGACTGACTGGTTGGCTGGCTGGCTGGCTGGCTGACTGACTGACTGACTGACTGACTGACTGGCTAGCTGGCTGTCTGTCTGTCTGACAGACATTTCATGTAAATCACTCACTCAAAAAACAGCAAAGAAAAATATGTAAATTAATCCAAAACGTAAGCAAGACAGGCACGACGACTGCAAAAGAAGGACAATATCCCTATCCTATGGTTTATTGTTGTGCATAATGGTGTTTGTTACCTCATCCTTGCTATAGCAGGGAACTCCAAGTGTCACATACATTCCCAGTCTCTCGGCAAACTGGGGATAAGAAAGCTGAAAAAAAAATAATGACGTAGTTATATAACACTAGACACACTGAAGCCTCGGACAAAGGAGAGAACCATGGTATTGACAACAATATCTTCTCAATATATTGCCAGACGAAGAGGCAATATAGGGATTATATTAGCACATACTCATAAAATATTTTTCCCGTTTAGAGAACGAGGTCAGTCTAGAAGGCTCATTGTTTCTCCAATCAAAAGCAAAAGATGCGGCATATTTAGTTTGTAAAAGCTAAATGAGCCTACAAGGTCAATCCGATTTCAAAGAAACTGCTCTCCAAAAACTATTTAAAAAAATCATTATCGTGACCCGCCATTTTGGAAACATGTTGACTAGCCTGCCTTCCTATTAGTGACGTCATTTCGCGGGAAACTCAATTGGCCGAAACGTCATGATTGTTCGCTGACAAAAAATAATGTGGCTATGAACATGCTCCCGTTGTTTTTTTGGTTTAGTTTCCTCATCCAGCGAGGAAGAAGGACTCAAAAGTGCAGAAAATCATTATGAGTCTTCTGAACCCTTAAATTCCAAATTTCATCAAGATAGAGCAGAATAAGTTACCAGGTTTTTTTACTCTCTCGGAGTCTCGGAGTTTACCGTTTTTAAGAGCGTACAGAAAGCAGTTTACAGTGTATGGGGAGTTCAACTGTCACTTCAAAACTGGTGCGTGAATACTCTTCTACAAGGATACGTCATACATCCAATTGATTGTCTTCAACAGCCGGTAGCTCAAATCAACTCACCACTTAAGAAACGATAGAGAAGGGAACTGGGCCGAGGAAAGTTTTGCAAAGGCTTCTGGGACTGTTGCCGCGGGCAGGGAAAAAAATTGTCCAATAGCTGACCGGCACGTCCCCAGTAACTATCCCAGAAACAATTGCGGGACACATTTCGGCTCCTGTCTCCTTCCCGTTTCGACTACTTACACGAGGCCCTCTATCTTGTGTGCTTTGGCTTCTGATATTTTTGTAAAACCGTCCCATCCTAAACGCCAGCTCGCGATAGTCTGTAATGCTCTGAAGGATACACAACTAAACATCAGCGCGCATGTATGATACAATAGAAGTGAAAAAAAATTGTAACGTAACGAACGATGGATAAATCAATCCGGCTAGCACTTTCCTATGTCTTAAAAAAACTCCGGTTTCCACCTAGCCTGCGATCAGCCTTTCTTTTTTTTTTTCGGTGGGGGTGGGGGGCACGAAATTCGGTAGACGGGCAAAGGGGGAAAAAGGAACGCCTGATACATTTACTTTCTTTTCACCCCTCGCCTCCCAAGAAAACAGGAAGAAGAAACGCCTGATCACAGGTAAGTTTCTATCTTCCATGTATTTCAAATTTTACCTCAAATTTTCCGTTGGTAGTTTGCGCCATCTCTTTAAGTCTTTGAACAGATCGTTTTTTCCTCGCATCCGAGGAGCTGTTTACGGACTCACCCATTAAACTGTACGTATAAACGCTTACAGTAGTGTTACTACGAGACAACAGAGCGCTAATGTCTTCCGTTGAAACATCTGTACTACCCGCCAGAAAGATTAACTGCAACAACAAAAATGATAACAACTTTAACATTACTAACTAAAACGCACAAAACGAGGAAAATTTAAACTGGTTGGTGACAAAGATTGGCGTGAAAACATCTTAAATCAACACGTTTTACAGCCAGAATTAAATTTGCGAAGGGGCAGCCATGAAAATGAGAAAACTAATGGGTATACTGAAACCGTGTAGAGGGCAGATTACACCTGTGATAAGCAGGGCCCAAAGGTCCAGGATGTTAACAAATTCTGTATAGGTTCGAATGTAGGGTAATCTTGGCTTAAGTTATACTTACGTGTGTGTCACGGTTGTTTTTAATGTCTGTAAGTAATTTCAAGGCCATGGAAATTGCGTTGTAGTAATTGGAAGTTTTTGTAAAGGCAAGGGGTACATCCTGCACAAATCTAAAAAATAAACGGAAAATGCAGAACAGTGAAAAGCTGTGGTAAGTCAAATCAATTCAAGTCTATTTTAATGTACCTAACTCACACAAAATATATGCATAACAATTAGGTTAGTTTATACAATGTTTTACAAAATAATAGGCCATTTCCGAGTAGCCCCAAGCCTCTGTTTAAAGGCAAGGCTAAGAGCGAAGCTTTTGAGATTACACAATGATTTTCTTATTCTCATGTAACTAAAACTCGTTTTTACAAGAAAGGTTTTGCGAATAGCCTCGTTTTGGAAGTGAGAGTTTTGGAATTTGGAAATGGCCTAATATAAATGACTAAATAAAATATTGTAAAGCAAAAGAAAAGAATGCCAAAATAATATAACGTACCTTATTATTAAGGAAAAAAAGGAAAGGAAGAAAAAGTATGTTACAAAATGCTTTGTTGGTTATTTTGAGTTTGCGACACCTAAATAGTAAATAAAACTTATGGAGTTGGTGCCTCAAATTAAGCTATACCTTTTTAAATCGCGTAAATTCTACCCGTTCGCTTGAACACGTTGGTTAGACTACAACCAAACTCTTTTAAACAAAATATTAGGCAAACCAAACCATACACACACAGAATAGCAATATTTTATTGGTAAAATGAGTCGAGGTGTCATGAGTCAAGTTATGAGTCAGATCTGGGTTAAGCACTGAAAATAGTAATTAGGGTTAAGCACCGACTGTAGTGATTGTGGTTAAGCAGTGACTCGAAGTGGCTAGCATTTATTTAGGTGTGGGTTTGTCACTATATCTACAGTATGAATTTAGTATTAAAGCAGTTACAGGGCAAATCCGAGAGGTTCGAACAACTCACTCATGACTCATTGACTAATTATATTTGTACTTAATTCTCTATAGCATTGCATGTAAGCGGGATGACTCCCTTAAGATGAACTAGTTAGTAAGGAAGGAAGGAAGGAAGGAAGGAAGGAAGGAAGGAAGTAAGTAAGTAAGTAAACCCTTCATATATGCATCGATAAAGGGTGTAAAGCTGATTGTACTAATAATAATTTAATGACTCCTTACATGGCTTTGGCCAACTGAAAAAAAATTGTTCTTCAACTAGGGGGACAAGATAATTAAGACAAGATAAAGTTAACACATGATCAAAGTGCAAGGAGAACTACATATGATTTATTTACCTTTTTAAATCACGTAAATTCTGCCCATTGGCTTGCACAAGCTGCGTATTAAAACAGCCACTGTAGGTTCCGTCCGATACTCCGCTGTGAGTCATTCCCGGGAGAAGTGCGCTCTCCGCAAAAGCAATAACCTGTAACCAAGAATTACATTTGTTTTACTCACCAAATTCACCCGCAATGTAATCACCAACGTAGCAATAGTCAAGTGTATATGCTTAGACTAAATTCTCTACAAAGCAATGGATAAATCACCAACTCACATGTGACTGAGAAAGACACTTTAATTCACAGTCGTAGGTTTCATTCGCATATACGTCCAAGATGTAACATGTAACGGCCTTGAGTTCCAATTTGAACCTGGATTGACCAGTCTTCATTGAAACGTTTTTTTCCGCTTCCTCTCGCCACACGCTTACCTAATTGTTTGCTACTCGAAGTTTAGAGCTTGCTCGCAGACTATCAACCTTTTCGTAATTTAACCGTAAAACGGGCGGTAATCCTTATAAGCTACTGAACAATCTCCCAGTTGTCTGTAGAAGTTCAGCTCTTTTTAATAGTTCTGGTAGATTTATTTTGTATTCAAAGCACTTAAGAAAGACTTACGTTCACAAAATCTGTCGGCAGCAACCCTTTAAGTACCGGAGTAATGGCGGTTCTGGCAAATATAATCTTGTTATCTTCAGTCATGGAATAACTAATGTCGAATAAAATGACGACGTTCTTTGGTCGAAGAATAGATGCTATGTACCACGGCTGCAGCCGCTCGTCTTTGGTCGCTGTTTCAACAAGAGAGAGGGCTATTAGAAGGCCTTTCTACAAGTTGTGCATAAAGGGCTGAATCCCTGAGATTTTTGTTTCATTCCCCAGTTTTGAAAGTATCAAGGTAAGATGTCAGTGTTATTGTGAAAAACAAATAGACAATATTTTTCCATGGCGTACAATCTTTTTTACAATAACTTGGCAATTTCTCGCGCGCTGATTGGTCGAAGGCTATGGTCGATAAAACGTAAAGATCATGGAAAAGACGCTCTTGTGGCACAATTTGTTTTCCCCTTCCTTGCGCAAGCGATTTTCCGAAAAATTGCGGCTCGCGTGGTTTCACTGCAAAGTATTGAACATTTTGACGTCATTTCTATGATCGATAAGAAAAATTGTTGTCGATTTGTAAAATAATACCTCAGAAATGACGTCAAAAAGGTCAAAACTTTGCAACGAAACCAATCGCCTGCGACTCTTGGTTCCACTTAAGTTTTGAATATCATGGAGTTATTTCCAGTGTTTAGTATGTAAGAGTATAGACCCATGGGGAATTGTTGTCTATTTGTTAAACTACAGTAACAAGAAAAGTTATATTCTTCGTACATGCATGTCGATATACTTGAGGCCAAATTCCTAGTTATGACACTTCTAGCCTTCGAGCAAGCTCTCCTATTTGGGCAAGAGGGCGGCGAAGACGCGAGGGGCCCCTCTTTCGTGTCTCCTCTCGCGTGTCTCTCGCGCGTCTACTTTTCACAATATCCCCAAATGGAGAGCTTGCTCACAGGTTATGACACTTTAAACGTACCACACTGGGACGAGCCGACCAAAGCAGCGGGGAATTTGCGAAAGAATCCTGTTGTATCGTCTGCAAAATACTGCCACTTAAGCTGTCCCTGAAAAACACAAGAGAGCAGAACTTTGTTCTGAAGCTAATAAACTTTAATAACATTCCCAAAATCCTGCAATAGCTCTAGAGTGTGAAGCGTTTCGTAGCTTTAATCATAGAAAAGAAAAGATAAACTATTACTATCCTGAGCAGGAGAAAGAAAGGTTTACCACGGAGTGTGGGTACTTCAGGAATGTTACGTGATAGTTAGCCTGCGTAGGGAGACGTATTTCCCGTCGAGAAGCAGGTGGAGAGAAGCGACAACCGGAAATACGTCTGCGTTCGCAGGCTACGTCATAGTATACAGCCGGATGGATCTATCTTATTGGTTAACATTATAGAGAGAAAAGCCACAGGACGCCCATTCAATCTCACTCCAAAAGAAAGAAAGCTAAGTGAAAGTTGCACGTTGCACAGCAATACCTTTTGTGACCCAGAATGAAGATTTTCCATCATTTGTGTCTCCAGCGAGCTGGTCCAGTCGTACGCGGATACAAGCTCGTCAGGGATCTAAAAACCCCAATCAAACTGGTTAACGCATACGTTTTTACATCATAGATGAACCACGTTTGTTTATTTATATATTTAGTTATTTTTTTAAATTTAGAAGGGGATTGAGTCCTGCTGTCAAGGGAGACTGGTGCGGTGCTTGTACTGGTCGGACGTGTGTTTAAGAGCTCTCCGAGCTAAGATTAGAATTTGCGTCTTTTCTCCTGCCAATTATGACCGGGAATGAAAAGCTGAGGAAGGAAAATCAATCTTTACGAAATGAGATAGCTGAATTGAAAGAAAAACTCCAGAAAATTTCCGAAGAATTTTCGTTGAAAAAGTTCGATTAATAGTTTAGTGATTTCTGTATTAAAGTATTTGTTTGTTTGCTTGTTCAGATTTAATGTAATTAAAATAAAACTGTGATAGAATATTATTTATTGTAACTTCAAATTGTAGTTTTTCTTTCCTTTTCCTTTCCTTTCTTTTCCTTTCAATTTATTTTTCTTTTAACTGGTCCGCCTAGATTAGCAATTGCTATTTTGCGGGCCAGTCTATTGTAACCAATAGTCTTATGAAATAAAGTTGAAGTTATGTCTGGCTTATTACTGTATAGGAAAGGTGGATCTTATATTAGTAAGGGCTTAAGTACTTTTCAGTGTGTGTAAATTACTATTGACTGAAATGGATTTTTCGGCTTTTTAGCCTTATATCTCCTTAATAATTCATGAATTTGGTGCTTTTTAATACCCGTGCTAAGATCCGCTTACAAGCTGTACATTTGAAAAGACTGGACGGTTATAACAATGTACAAAAGTAAATGGAATCTTTCTGTTAAATACAAACAAAAAAACAACAATAACAGCCATAACCCACCTCCTTAATTTCACTTGGCCAAGACCAGCAGCTCTAAAAAAAAGATAGAAGAATTTGGCAAAAGGTCAGTATTTTTTCCCCTCAGTTGACGACACTATCATTGGCAAGGGCAATACTGAATAATGCATTGAGTAAGAAATTACCGATCTCGTATTGACCCATCGTTGAAATTCAGTGGAATAACGGGTGTGGCCGTCATAGCGACAGCACTGTTTAGGTGCAATCTCCTTCAGGTTGGTAATCCTGTGCTCATTCACAGTCTTGTACTCTTCATAATCTTTCTCGATCACGCTCTTAAGCTTCATCCCAAGTTGCCTCTTCTCTTCAATGCGACCGCTGATAAACTTGGCTAACTTGTCTACAAGATCTGAAGGGTTCAACCTGATGTTCTTTTTAGCTACATGAAAAACAAAATGTCGTCTAATCAGTTGGTATCGTGCTAGCCTTCTTCACGTGTGCTGAAACAAGATGGTCGGACTTTCAAGTGCACCGTTAGCTGACTCGTCCCCAGGCGTCTCTATTTGGATCGCAAAAGGAGAAAGGAACGCGAGAGGCCTGGTGACCGAAAGGAGCAAAGGGAGAGTTTCTCCGCTATCCTCCTTACCATCACCTTTCGCGCTCCCATTGGCTTAGCTAGGAGACTGGAATAGCCTGGAATAGTGGCCACGAATAGCCCATTTTACAGTTACAGGTGAAAACGAGACTGGAGTTGACCTTGTTTTGATACAACCCTTTCTGCTTTATCATATAAATCAGGTTTTCCTTGTGCTAACTGCCTATTTTCAAGTATAATTTCCATAAGAAAAGGAAAGAGGTTTGTACCAAAACAAGGTCAACCTCAGCTTCACGTCCACTCAAAGGCTAGGAAACTAAGTCCTTACCGTAAAGTAGTCTATTAGGCCATTTCCGAGTTTCCCCGGGCCTCTGTATCAAAACGAGGTTCAGTGCTCAGCCTTCGATATAGAATGATTTTTTTATTCTCATGCAAATAAAATTCATTTTCGCAAGAAAGGTTTTGCACTTAGCCTCCTTTTGAAAGTAAGAGTTTTGGGAACTCGGAAATGGCTAATTTGCAGAAGATGAGTACATGTTGTAAACTCAGAAATAAAGATTGTTGTTGTTGCTGTTGTTGCTTGTGGCCACAAATATATAACTTGCAGAAAATGAGCCACATTTTTTTAACTGAGAATGCAATATTAGTTAAGGATGTTCTGTTTCACATCCACGTTCATATCCATGTTCGCAATGATCTTAACTTCCAACATAAAGAGAGGACCAATTCTCTTTATTAGAGTATCAAACGTTTCGTAATGGATAATTAAGACACGAAAAAAAAGCCTGCTGTCAGGCTAATTCCTTGTTAGGGAACGATCTATTCGTCCATAATTAGCATTTACACCAAAAAAAAATTAAACACACTTACTGGCATTATCGTAAATGTTTTTCATTTCATTCACACATAGCTTGTCAACCATCAGATTCTTTGCCGTGGTCGAAATCTTCTCAGCTGAGCTAATGACGTCATTACTGGATATCTCATGCTTGATTGTACAGCTACAGTTAGGGTTAACAATACTTTTGACAGGGAGGGTAGGCACAGTACTCATTAGTCTGTTTTGGTAGATTTTGAATTTAGCTGTAGAGGCATCGAAGTCAAACACATGCCAGAAACGTGAGCAATTGGAACTGTCATAACCAAGGCCGTCTGCAAAAGAGAGGGAAAAAAAACCTCGGTTGAGGATCAAAAAGGGGACTGTAGTTAATTTTACCCAGGGCGGGGGGGTAATCCCTCATATAAGCCATGGAGGTATGTGCTGCCCCAAAGGGTAGCGCTTTTGCGCCCTTTGGTAGGAAAACGGGTAACCACTTTGCCCATTTAGGTCTCGAATCGGTAAGAAAGAAAGAGGAATGTGGGAATTCGAAATGGATGTTAAGAAATCTTTTTTGATGCTGTTCTAATCTAAGTAATGATGACGTAATTTCTTGGAAGCCAGGTCTGAAAACGGGTGTGGTTTTTTGGGGCTAGGTCCGGGAACGGGTGTGAAAAATGACAGGTTTTGGTCTGAAATAGGGTTAGGATTTGGAGAATCGGGCGGCACACCCCCGCCAAGAATTCCCAAGAGTAGCCCCCCGGGTAATTTTAAAGAGTCTCTCTGACTAACAAAGAAAAATGACTTACTCTCACTGCAGTCCGGTTGTTGGATGCTATGTAGTAGACCTCCCGTGGACGCCTGATAAATCTTGACATTAGCTGATATCTTATTCCAGCAGATATCGTTAGTGTAAATATGCACGTAATAAGCGAATGTTTCCGACTGAAGTCCTCTCATGGTTATGGTCTCTGGTCCGTACATATCTGTGGCATCCACATCAAGGTCTATGATCTGAGAACCTTGTTGGCACCGCTTGCCGTCATAATAAACCTGTGTACATTGAAATTTTGATCAGAGTCATGTAATGAGGTATTTTAGAATCCAAATGCGTGCTGGACACTTGTGCCATTAACCGCAGAATGCGGCTCTATATGCTGCTGTCACTCTCGGAGAAATTTACCCTGGGTACCTGAGACGTTTTATATCGGCGTTCGGGGTTTTACTGTCAAGTCTTTATAGTGACCCGCTCGTGGCGTCGGCCCTCCTCCGAAGACGTGGCCGACCCGAAACATCTCCGCCGCACACGATCGCCGCACGCTTGAGAAAACCTCTGGTACCTAGGGTAGGAGAAACTGCAACCCACGCCTAGCTGAAATCCCAACCAACTAGCATATAATTGCAACCAAAGCTTTCTCTTTTCCCATATCCAGCCTCCTTCTCATACCCTCTCTCTTACTGAGAACGAGGTTGGCCCATGCCAAGAAATTCAATATCACATCAGTGTTATTCTAATCGTAAAACCGTAACCTCTGTTATAAGCACTGGGCTTATACAACTTTGTAAGCGGTTTTTAATTTAGGAGGGCTTACAAAAGGGGGGGGGACGTTTACAGTATGTTTTTTGCCTTCGGCCGCTATTTCCACGTACTCCCAGGGTAATTCCTAATTTTGTGGCGTTCTTGTGAGTCTCAAAGTTGGACCACACTTATTTTAACTTCCTGTGGACTTGGAAAAGGGGTCCAAAACTGCCTACAATTTTTTGGCTTCTTCCTTGCTGCATTTTGTCAGCGAAGGATTTGGACAGTTTTCAAGGCAAGTTACTTTTGTTTTTGATTGATAGAAATGCTAAAATTCGACGTGTTTTGGTCTTTTCCAACTGCTTTTGCTCTAACTAATGAGTCAAGCTAGATTACTTTCGAAAATTTGGTGATTTTGCTTGTGAAAACTACTAAAGTGAAAACTACGGTATCTAATTCCGCAACAGGAACTGCGAACAAGTATGAATATCAAGGGCGCTTTCGATTGGGATTGAGATTAAGATTTTGAAATCCGGATTTTGGATTTGCAATAAAACGCGAGATCCAAAAACGGATTTCAACACCCAGAAATCTGTCCTTGGATTCCGTTTTATTGGGAAATCCGAAAAAGGATAAGAAAAACAATTCTCAAGAACACTTAACAGCGGTCTCGCACGTGCACGCATAATTAAGAGAGAACAGTTTCGCAAATCCTTTTTCGGATTTCCCAATAAAACGGAAAGAAAGGAAATCCACGCATTCAGGATATGGATTCCTTACCTTAAGGAAGGATTTCTCGAAGTTAAAATCCGTTATCGAATTTTGCGTCTTATTGCAAAATCCGAATTCCAGATTTCAAAATCTTAATCCGCGATCCACATTTCCCAATCGAACGTACCACAAGACCTTCCCTAGTTCCTGTGCGGTGTCTTTCCAGGCCTTCTCGCTCAATGCATTTCGGTGAATTATCTGAGACAAAAAACTCGCTCGGACCACGTCACCCGAATTGCATCGGCCGCGCGCAATAAAGAGGGCTTGGGACTAGGCAACCACAAGACCTACCATTCCAGACTCACAGTCAGGATCATCTGAACTGCCGGGCCAGGGCGTTATAAGATAAGAGTCCAGGTCCTTTGGCTGGCGACCCCAGGTGAGCACTATACGGTACATATCATCTGTCCCTCGAAGAGACAAACGTGGAGATATCACCATGTCCTGATGGATCATAATGTGTTTTTCTGTTGTGGTTGGGATCTTTAAGTCTTCATTTAACGTGTAATAACCGATCCTGGATGTTCGAACCTAGGAAAAACGGGCAAAAAAAGCTTTAAGTTTGAACGATACGATACAGTGTACCTGAGGAAACAGGATAAACTAAGCCGGTTAAAATAATAATGGGAACTATTTGACCAAGGCTGTGCTCTAAAAAAATTTCAGAAATCCGTGTGCTCTGAGCCTGTAAAATCCAGGGTGCCCAGCACATGATTAGCATGAAAAAACTATAAGTTTTTCGAGTTGCATGAGTGCGAAAGTTGGGCGCTAGGGGCCACTGGGCTTTGCTTGAGCACAGCCCTGCTATTTCCATTCTTCATCAGCACACGCGCTCGGTGATCTCTAAAGACCACTGTAATTGGCTTACTGCTGTTGTGGCATCCTGCCTAATTACGAATTTATTCTTATTTGTTTCTTTTGTATATATATCTATAATCCTTCATTTTTTGTGTTAGAAAGATTACGCTTCACGTATACGGCAAACGTTAGATTCAAGTTGAGAATTTTTAAAAATAGAAAACGAGCAGATAAAAACAGCTCCGAATAGTTCTTATGGATAAAAAATTTTGTGAAACTACTAATTTATTGTCTAGAAATAATGAGCAGTAAACGACAACCTGGAAGTAAAGGGGAAACTTGGTCACGTGGTACAAATTCGCGTTTGCCGTGTGACGTAAAGGTGATGCTTAACCTCTCTATTATGTGATAGGTGAAGCTAATGAAGCGAATTAGGTCAAAGAGGCCCATTCTCAATACACTGTAGGTTCTGTTTGTGCGCCTACCTGGTAGTAACCAGGTTGAACATCTTCTATGATAGCCACACCGTAGAAGTTTGTCAGGCTTTTAGCTGTTCTTAAAAAGACCCCAGCACTGGACAATAACATACACTCAGCTCCGGGCACTGCGGCCCACTCTACTCCTCGAGTAGCATCCTTCACCTGCCAATCAAAATACACAAATAAGTTGGTCAACTGTGCAAATGAGTATCAAGAACCAAAATACTGCACCAAAAACCAAAGTAATTACATTGGCCAACCCTCTGCCGGCAAAATAAAACGAGCCAATGAGATCTCAAAGCAAAAGCAAGGAGCCTGTTCCAAGCGCGGGAAGACAATAGTTTTAGTTTTGATTGGCTGAGGGTAGTACTAATTTAAAGTCATTCACTAAACAGCAATAGAGACGAAGTTACTTTCAACGATCAAACCATACTATATAGCTAAACGTAAAAATTATGCATGGTAAGGTAAGAAAGGATGAAAGTGGATTTCAGTTTATAGAGTTTACTGGCGTAAAACGGCCAAGAAATAAAACTCACTAATAGGTTAGTTGAGACTTCGATCGTTTTGGGACCTTATTTCATTATTCATTGTCTTGTCTGCTCCAAAATGGTGAAACGGTCTCAAACAGAAGCTAGTTGCGGAATTTTGCCTTACGAAAGTTTTCATAACCAAGTCAACCACAGCCAATGAAGCTGCTCCTGGCCAAATATAACGAGAAAATGGTACATCCGCGGCGACAGGTTATGAAATCTAGGCAACAGTTGTAAACATGCACCCTCGTATGTAAGGTATAAAGTGCTATATCGCGGATGGGGTACACTCGCAAAGGCGGAACATTTATCGGGCAGCAAATTTATAAGTGTTCGTAAAGTGAGCTTCGCCGTATTTTCAAGAGGTTCCCATAGAGCCTCCCGGTAGCTCAGTGGTTACAGCGTCCGATCTAGAACTCGGAGAGTCGTGAGTTCAATCTTATCTGTGGAGTTCGGAAATTTTTCTGAGCTTTCCGAAGTTAGATTTCTCTTCCTTCTAAAGTGCGTTGTACTGTTGGAGAACAGAAGACGAAGAAAGATTTCTGCTCGGAGAGACAGTACGTTCTTTCACTCTGTTTTAGTTTTCAACTTTAATGTTTTCCACTTAAAGACCTTCACTGCAAACAGTTCAGCTGCGACAAATTGTCTCTTGGCTGCATTCAACCATTTCTCTCATCAGTTTGAATCCGCTATTAAGCCACTACGTTAATTAAATTTCATAAATAAAGGACAATACCGCTTTTCATTAGGCCACCGACGACTCATCCAAAAGGAACTAAAATTTTCATTTCATCGGACAGAGAGGAGTCAATTTACACTAGCTCAGTGTTTAGTGACGGATTCACGACATTGCACAAGTCTGCCCTGAAAGGATACTTCGTCCCATAACTCTGCTATATAAGAACAGAAAAGACTGTTCCGAGTGAATTCAATTGCAAGCTCCATCGCCACTATGACACTTCCAGATACTGATGCTGAACACAACGGCCCAAAATAGGCTGATTTACAAATCAAGACTTTCTTTTGCTGTTTGTCTGCCTTTCTTTTTACTGAAAACATTTTGACCCCAAAAAGATTTTTATTTCCTTGCATTTGTTAAGATGTCAGTACAAATATTGTTGAGATATAGGAATGATTCGTCATGATTCGGCTACTAAGTAATGATGCAGTTCATAGTTACAGATTTTCCCTTTCATGAGGCGCACTCCCACAGTAAAATGAGTGGTTTGGAATATCGCCGTAACGCGTTTTTATGGGGGAGAAATTATCAGGTTTAAACCAATTATAAGAGCGAAGTAACCGAAAATGAAAGAGGACTCGTCTGGAATTGAAGCGTTTACAGAACTATATATAAAGCACTGCCAGTTGGAATTTGAAAAATTCGTCAAAAAGTTGATTAAACCGTTTGACCTTGCTTTGACAAAAAATGAATATCAAAAGACCCAAACAGTATTACTTTCTCGCCCTAAGCTACCCGAGGTATAGTCTACGTTGCTTTAACCCGAACTGGAATTGTCATGGTGTCAGTTCATTAAAAATACCTCACGCTGAAAATTTTCGTAATTTCTCAATTCGTAAAAAGTGATCGTTTTCCAAACAGTAGAAAATTGCGTTTTGGTTTAATTTAATGGTTTACAGCTAAACCTAATGAATCTTGTAGAATGCTGACGCAATGAAAAATATATAAAAGGATTTCGCGTGTGACTACCCACCAACATGTAATTATCCGCCATGTTCTTCTACCCTAAACATTTCGTTCTTTGTATGTACAGCGATCATGTAATTATTGAATGTATTAGTGTTTGTTGAATAAGTCAAAAGTGATGAAAATTGAATAAATCTTTTTCTTTCTCCAAGTAAGACTGAAGTGGTAGATCCTTTATTTGGTAAAAAGATATGAACCCCTCTGTCAAGTGCTATGTAAACAAATTAGCGATGTCATTGCGCTCCTATGTAGATCGAGCGATCAAAGTTTTTTCATAATAACATAGTGTGAATGTGAAGAAACTCCGTGGGGTTTAAAATCGTAAGGAACTCATGTAAGCATGCTTAGTTTCTCGGCCTGGTTCTTAAGCGTGGTGATGATAAACAAATCACTACCAGTATGGTGCTGAAATTCGTTGAACACGATCGACCTACCTGGCATTTGATGGAAATGGTATTCACTTCACAGGCGCTTGTTATGATAAAAAGAGTGACAAAAAACTGTTTAGAATTCATTCTTTGGAATCGTTAAGAGAATCTAGTCGCTCTCGTTTCGCTTCCACCACATTTGAAAAGCACGTAGCGCAGTCTTTTGCATTTTCATTTCGATGAAAACAATACCATCGCAAGGAAATTGCAGTTCTTGCTAACAATGCAAATTGCAATTTGCATGATAACTAGGATTACTCGCATTATAATGGACATGGCGGTCCGAGATTAAACAAGACGTTAATTTCTAAATTTAGAAACACAAAATTTTAAACTCTTCAGCGCTTCGTTACAGTGATGGAACGGAAAAAAAAATTGGCCGAAATAAAAAACGAGTATTTTTGCACCAGAAACAAACGCACGGTTAGTTAAAGTAGTTGCAACAAAAGTTTTGAATAGTTTTGTTTCCTTTGTCTAAAGTAGTGGCCAGAAAATCGGGCTTTTTGGTGTAACAAGTCCTTGATTCTACAAGTTAATCGTCCTCATTCTTGTTAGCTGGTCAGTGTTCTTCTAATTTTGAGATACCCTGCGAGCAAGCTCTCCTGTTTGGGCGAGTGAAACAGGTCTCGCGAGAACGCGCGAGCGAGCGGCGAAGCCGCGAGGGGCGGAGGATGCAAGCTCTCCTTTCCTCGGCCCCTCGCACGTGCGTTCCCGCGAGGCTCGCTTCGCTTGCCCAAATAGGAGAGCTTGCTCGCAGGCTAATTTTGAGAAGGAGGTGAGGCACACGCAGCTTTAGCATGGAATTTTTAAGGCATACTCCTTTTCTTGAAAGTATGACAAAGAAACTCTAGCTTTCACTGTAGATTATTAAGAATTTCTTACAATGTGACTAGAACGTTTTTTGCTGAAATGATCATGTTCGGTCCCGCAGTTTATCAGGTGCATTATTATAAGAAGAGAAGAGAGCTTGACTCTATTGCTTCTCGTGGCTTTTGTTCTCATTATTTCTTTTTGCTTATCTCAGTTTTTGCTTCTCCTTTCCTTTGTTCTCACTATTTCTTTTGGCTACAAGCTGGTCAATGCTATTTTTACTAACTGCTTTGGCAAAAACGATATTCATGAAAATTGTTGAACGTCAAAACAAACTTTTTGACTACTGTTAAGAACGTGGTCGTTAAAGCCCGCAAAGACTTGGTCAAAATGCTAAAAGACCTTTTAAATGGAAACTTCTTGTTTCTGAAATTTATTAAAAAAATGCTAACTATTATCCAGTCTGCTTTTCAGAGCTCATGCAAGCTGATATTCATGTAAAATCGTTGAATCTCTCACATTCAAATAAACGTTTTTGACCAATGTCTATTAATGATACAATACATTTTACACAGTTTCTATCAAATACGTTTGCCGGGCATATATAAAAACAGGGCGTCAACAAATCCGTACAAAAAAAACAGGGCGTCAACAAATCCCCAATAACCGTTTGAAAGAAACCGACCAGACAATACCTTTTTTGTTTCCACGTATTGTGAACGTCTGACGAAGACACTGGACGGGCTAAGAGCAATGACGCGCTCTTTAATGTTACACACACACTGATTGCATCTAAAGAAGCCTGACAAGCTTACCGTTTGAGATTTGGGGTTAAGCTGACGTTAGTTAACAACACGTCCGAGGAAATATCCAGTTCACTCGCTTATTTTCACTCTTTACCTTGCACTTGGGACGTATACATCGTTCTGATCATTAGCAACTTAGCGGAAAACAAAATGATAATTTCTGTGGTCGAAAAACCGTTTCATGAATTTTACGACACCGACTATCTCATGGGTCCCTTAAAAATTTCGGTTGAAATGTAAATGGAACGCGACAGTTGAGATGGAAATTTTCCGGAAAAAATGATCCACCATCAGACGCAGTCCTAAGAAATACTCATAGCCGACGCTGAGCGGCCAAGCGCGGGAAAATACGTATGGAGGGCTAGCCATCCAATCAGAACACGAGCGGGCACTTTAAATCAACCAATCAGATTGCGAGGTAAATTCATGTCGTCGGCACAAAGGGAGGAAAATTCTTGTTTTTTAATGATTGGTTAAGCAAGTGGCGCGAGACTTATAAGCCAACCAAAAAGAGTAGCAATCCAAACCAAATGCTTAAGGGCCGACCATTTGACTTTTGAGTGGGGGGTACAAAGCCATTGTAGGCCAGGTATTTCCTTGCAAGATTAATCAGTCTACAGGATATTTTTTTCTGAAATCACCCTTACCCCCGATTCATTGTATGCCAGGTATTTCCTTGCAAGATTAATCAGTCTCCAGGATATTTTTTCTGAAATCACCCTTACCCCCGCCTCATTGTATGCCAGGTATTTCCTTGCAAGATTAATCAGTCTCCAGGATATTTTTTTTCTGAAATCACCGTTACCCCCGCCTCAAAAGTCAAATGGTCGGTCCCTGAACAGGCTTTAATTAAGAAAAATAAACCAACCCACTCACCAGTCACATTTAAGGTAGACAATTAACAGAACCTGGGAAACAAGAAAACAAAAAACAAGTCACATGCCAAGCGACAGAAATCAAGAGCTTTTATTAATTCTAAATACATATATATTTATTTTGTGTCTAAAAATGTGTATGTTAATTCACAGAACAGTTCACCACTCTATGTTAATCGTTAGCGAAGTATGTAACTTCCTTTTCAGCATTTATTTTTAAGACAGTTATTTTTCGGTTATGCACGAGATATTAGCAGGAAATTTTGAGCAAGTTAACAGCTCTCCAAACTTGTTAGAAATTACACTTTGATGAACTTTTCAAAGAAAGGCTGTCTCTGTTACGCTTAGCCTGTTGAAATTTCTATAAGGTGAATGGATTGCAGTTTGGTGGTTGCTACAATAGAGAGATTTAGAATCATATTTACGGCGAACAACAGACGTCAATTTGTAGCATGTGACCAAGTTTTTCCTTTACCTATCGCCACCTCTTTATTATATGTGCACAAAAAAATTTATAGTTTCACGCCATACAATTAATACTTTGCACACTTTTTTCCTGTCCATTTTCCATTTTGAGAAATTGTCAATTTGAATTTGACGTCTGCCGTAAAACTGATTCTTAATCTCTCTGATCCCATTAAAAATTCCCGAAACTAGCGTAAATATGACTTCATTACATCTCCAATAAACTTGACTCACTGGGTGCGAGGGGTGTATGCCGTAAGCATGCGCAGTCAGAGTTTATTCTGAAGAAAGGCATGAACAAGAGGAAACACATCTTTTCTCGTTGCCTTGATATTCTCCTGATCATAAACAAAACAGTTCTCATAACTTTCACTGTATTGCTTTAATTTAAGTTCGGCTGAAGTAGACAAATAATCTCCAATTTGTCCAGAAGCATCTTGATTTGGACCACACACAGCAAGCTGTTTACTTGGAGGTTCGTCTAAGCCATCCCCAAAGTAGACAAACATTATAACCAGTACATCCAAGCATGAAGATTCACAAAATTTCACTATGTGATGTTGAACTTGTGCTCTTGAAAAGAATTCTTGCATTGACAACCCGCTGACTGCGCTGATGCTGACACTTAAAGCTTCACTACTGTTCTTGGGCAAGGCTTTGTAGTCTTTCCGTAAAAGGTCTGGGGTGGAGATGGCTGACACATCAAATTTTGCTAGGAAAAAAATTTTGATGTGAAGACTTTATTTAAAAGAGGGCAATACTTCACAGTTGAAAAAAAACTGAGGAACTTGTGGCTCTCTATAACAATGTTATCATAAAAAGATAAACATGACCCCCAGCCCCCCCCCCCCATTAAGATGAAAGAGGCATTGGAGTGAACATGCGAGAATATGATTATTGATGAGAATAGCCTGAGAAAACAGTCAACATTTGGTGACGCTACCACTGGTTTCCCAGCCAAATGATGCCTGAGAAACGAGCGCAGCAATTCAATACTGATGACGTGTCACTACCCAGATCTTGTTAGTGCTTCTGATTGGTTGTGCCGCATGAGAAATTTGATTCAACCAGTCATTTGGCCGGGAAGCCAGTGGTAGTGTCACCAAATGTTGGCTGTTTTCTCAGGCTATGATGAGAAAAAAAGGAAAAATTTCTATATCAATAACTTTTTTAGTTTACAGCTGATCTATAAAACTTGATGGTATGGACAATAGCAATGGTATGCAACATGGGCTGGGGAAAATATACCTTCACATAAAAAACAAATTGAGGGTAGAGATTAGGCTAGGCAGAAGCCTTCACACTGTTATCCTGACTTCCGTCAGAATCCACAAAGTCACTATCAGCTACTCTCATTCCACCTTGCAATGTGCAGCTAAGTTCTGTGAACTAACCTTTACTGAGACCTGCATACAATTCATCCACTGCAACTGGATGTCGCTCCATTAATCTGCTAACAATTTGTTTGTCTTTGTGTGTTGTTTTACCAGCTCTAGGATCAAGATTAATCGTGTCTAGCAGTATTGTTCCTAATAAGAGGCTGCACATCATATTGTCCAGTATGTCTACAGCCAAGAGCTTTTCAGCCACAAGAGTACAGCAGGATCCCACTAGCTCAATAGTCTTGTTGACTTTTAGTTCAGCTGGCCACATATCTTGATGATGGTCTGAAAGATATCATAGCTTGTGTACAGATGTCCCCTCCCCTCAAAAAAAGAGGGAAGAAGGGGAGGGTGCATCTGAACACAGGGCTAAGATCTTATTGTTATAAAAAGAAACGAAATTCTAAAGTTAACCTTTCACTCAAAACACATGATGGACATATTAGCTAGAAATAACCAACTAAAGACTTTCTCACCCTGCCAGCAGAGTGTTTCTTTTGCTTGCTCAATTTTGGCGTACAGGAGAAAGACAGCATGAATCGAGTAAAATCTTTGTTGAACATGCTCAGGGGTGGATCCGGGATTTTTCTTAGCAGGTGGTGCACCACTAAGGAATGGCTTAACTGACTGGTGACATCAACAAATTTTTAAAAGGGAATATGAAGAAGAAGGCTTTTGACTAAGCAATAACATAATGTGAACTGCTGAGAATCATATCAACCGATACAGCAGATTTTTTTGCAGAATACCAGTTGTATTAGAAAGCCACAGGTCATCTCGGGGGAAGGAGGGTGCACACCCCTTACACCCTCCCCCTAGATCCACCCCTGATGCTCTGCATGTTGCCTGCTGGGATACAGTTATGAACACAGGCCAGATAGTCGTGTGCGTGGTACAGCAGGCTGACCATAAGCACCACCAACCTTTCAAAACAGACTGATACTAAGAGGGAATTCTCTAAACGTGTTTGTAAAGGGCAGACCTGTAGAGCTTACTTACACACTCACCTAAAATTTCAATGACAGCAGTCTCCAAATATTTCTGTGCTTGGGCTAAAACATTATGGTCTACTAAAGTGAGTTTCAGTTTCTTTGTTTCCATCAAGGTTTCTAACTCTATATCTTCTATAAATGTGAAGAAATCATGATCAAGATGAAATTGTTTGAACAGAAACACTGCTTCTGTTCGCAGGCAGAAATCTTCCCTTGGTATGTTGAACACAGGAACAACAGCTGTTTGTTTTGCTGGAACATTGGACAATGTCTTGCAAGATAGAAAACTAAAATCAGATTCCTTAGCATTGTTAGAGGTACATGTATGATTACTGTTAAATTTGTTGACTTGTTGGAATCGATGTGTCTCACTGAACATGTTAGATCACCCACATGCAATTCTGATAATTATCAAAGAAGACCTATTTCTGATTGATATACCACTAATCATTGCTCTGTGTTGTACAGTCTCTGTGCTTTCAGACCACTGCATGCTAGCAAGATATTTGAAATTTTGGACAAACATTGTTTAGAGATCCACTGCCTTTGTAGACAAGTAATAGTCAACTCTACCGTCCTTTTGTCCTAATGTGAAACAAGAGACCTGCAACTTGGCTAGGATGGAAATTAGGCGTATTGATGATATTTGTAACTGGATGCCGAAGAATAAATTAAACTGAACGATGATAAAACTGAAACAGATCACTGTAACAGGTCTGTTATAATTATGGAGTATCAAATTAATAAGCTACAGCCTGCACAGAACATGTTTGCAGGACTTATATGCAGTGAAAGTAAATAAATTATTGTTAGACTACTCCTTTATTAGGTAATTTAAATTGGTTGCCTGTAAAGTTTAGAATTGAATTTTAAAAAATCCTCTTAATTGTTTTTAAGATTTTTAAGAGCTTAGCATCTTGTTACCTAAGTTCATGGAGGGGGGGGGAAGGTACAAAAAAATATTTGTGCAAGGAAAATTGTTCATTTTCCTGCGGAGATGACCAAAAATAAATTACAGTAATTTATGCCTTAGGTTGGGCACATGAAAAGTTCAACATTTGATATACCAAGTCACTCCTCAGTCCAAATTCCCATGTGGGCCACTCGAACGTAATTCATGGGTCGACCCAAAGTAGATATGTTGGACTTAATTGTTTCAAACATCAATCTTTTGATGCACTTAACTGAAGGGATTAGGTTTGGTACATGAAAAATAGTGACGTTTGAACTGCTCCTTAACTAGTTATGGTTACCTCTCTTATGCACAAACTATTAATCCATTGAAAAATCATTCTTAAGCAAATAAAAATATTTTTTGTCCCAGTTTTATCTCTTTTTAAAAGTAACATTTTATTTCTGGATCTGCTTCCATGAAGAGACATACCTTAAAAATGGAAAATGCATAAATGAGCGAAGACACCATTGAGTCAAGATCACAAGCCTCATTTCCTAAGACAACATGAACTTCATTGAACTCGGTGAGATTCTTCAAGCAGACCTTTATAAATGAAGGAAGGAATAAAAGACATTTAGCAAACTTCCATTGGCTTTGTGGTAACTTGTTACAGCACAAACACTTCCTTTGTGTTAACAATTGTTATGCAAGTATAGGTGCCTTGCAATAAATTGAACAATTTTACTGTTTAATGCACTAAGCTACTCAGACAATGCAAAGGAATCAATTTAGTAATGACAAAATGGAACTACACATATCATGACTTAGAAATTGCATGCAATCTATGCTTTTTTCTCTTTCAGAAAGTAGACGTGTCTGAATCTCTTTTGTGGTTCGATTATCGTAATCGACCCCTCAATCTTCAAATTTTTGGTGGCCCTTAGGGAAGTTTCCACTGTATAATACACAAACAACATAAACAAAACAGAACAATGCAAAAATATTATACAAACAAACACCAAACTCTGGGAACATAACATAGTGCAAAGAAAACCAGCTTTACAGCTTCCTCTTTGGGCAAGCTGCAGCTAGCTTTTACTGGCCTGCCGGAGAGCCATTTTGACTAGCCTGAGAAAAAAATTTACAAGCAGTGAATAAGTTAAGCGTATTTAAGTAAACGCTTTAAGCACAAACTTCCACTTATTTCAAACACACTAGTTGTCTCTCCTTCGTGCCCCTTCGCTCACTCCTATTGCCCTGATATTCTACACCTACAGTAAACTCTCATAAAACTATCCGGGTAAAGCTTAGAAATATTAAATTATTCGCCGACCTACAAGTAGTTATTGACTTGTAAAAATAGTTCAAAGCATGACTTGTGTATACGATTAAGAACGATCGAAACAAAGCAAAACAAAACACAACATGAGCACCTTGGAATGCTTTAAAAAGTCCTCCATTTTGATATTTGCTTGGAGGCTGGCTCGGCTGGTCGGCATTATATTTAGCCTGCGTAGCAAGCGTTTCCTCGCGAGGTTCGTCTAGAAAGCTAGGACAAGAGCAAAAAAAGAATGGATGACGGGGGAGGGGGAGGGGAACGAAGGAACCGCTTGCCCCAGGCGGTGTGCGTCACGAGATTCGACCAATCAGAATGCGTCATTCGTAGAGTGATTTTCGCGCTCGGAAAGAGCCGTTTTCAGAGGTATATGTGGTGAAATTTTCGCTTTATTCCAAGCTTGTGTTAGTAATTTCGACGCTATACCGCCGTGGAAAGTTGTTGGAACACTTTATCTTGATAGCAGTTGCGTTACTTTTAAATATTTTTGCTTTCTTGAGCGTTTGTGACAAGTTTGAATTGCTCAGTTATGTGCAGGCCGCCATGATGATTTGAGTGTTGTTTTTGCCGTTCTTCTTGGATTTATTGCTGGTTACTGTTAGCGGTTTTATCGAATTATTTTGGCCATCTTGTTACTTCAACCTTTCTTCTTTGCAAATTTCGGGGTCTACCTGGTCTACCCCTGTTAGTTTTCCCGTTATGAGCCGTTGAAAGTGTCTTGGAATTAAGACATCGTCTTAGCCAAGTGGCACAACTCCCGGGAAACTGGCTGAGAAAACATGACGAAGCGAAAGCCGACGTGAAGCGAGTAACGCCAAATCTAGGAAGAGTTTGTGCTATTTTAAACCACAAAAGGTAAATAAGTTTGAATATTGTAATAACCTTTGGAAAAAAAAAACATTTTTCATAACCCAGTGCGGAAACTGAAAGCGTGACTTAAAGTAATTTGCATGCGGTGTGTGCCATGTGTATGCAAATCTTTGTGCAAACTTATGTAAGGGAATAAATTGTTATAAATCTCTACCAAAACACAAAACCATTATCGAAGATCCAGACAACATCATAAAAGATTTTAAAACTGTGAGGTTAGGTTTTACTTTATAACAAAATCTATATACTGCGCTCACTTCAATGACCGCACAGACAAGATCGTGGTTTATTTCACTGTTTATTTCTGCGACTGTAGCTTCGGTGAAATCCCGATTGTGCCGCAGCTGTTCGGCTCTTTCGGTCTGTTTTCCCCTTGCCTCATAGAAGATTTATTTGCGCATAAGGATTTCAAACGGGCACTGTTTTCAAAATAGTATAAACTTGTCGATGAAAATAAAATTGTTATGAGAGACGATTTCTCACCTTGCTGTTTGCACGCGCTCCCCCTAGCTGCTTTGCCGGTAACAAAGTCCATCAAATATATAAACACTTCTAATGGACGAATTATTTTTTAGTTAAGCAAATCCAGGTATGAACTACAGATCTCTTTCACCATGAGATAAATACATACATATAAACCAAACAGTACATAAAATCTTATGAGAAGCAGGAAATTAGTCGCCGCTCAAAGTCGGCTAGATCGCACGATCGTCTCCGAATCGCGATAAACTTCTTGAAATTGTCTTGTGAAGCCAATAGCAAGCATCTAAGGCCACTATGAGATCTTGAAAATTCTCGAAATCGCTCTCTTCAGTAATGTTTTTCGGAAAAGGCAGCAGTGTTTTGATCCCTGGGTTTGATTCATTTCTCTTACGAGACGCGAATTCGACCGTGTCACGATTGAAATGAGGCACAGTAACAGTTTTACCCATGAACCTTTGTGGGTCGTGACGCACACCGCCTGCCCCAGGCCGCAAACCCCACGATTTTGAAAAACTGCGTTCGCCCACGAGCGCAGCTTCTGATTGGCGCGGCGCGGGTAGTGTTGATTACTTAGCATTCGAAACATCAATCAAACCAGGTATGCTTTGTTTTCGTGTGTCACAGATCTGGTAGCCTGTGAACAGGCCTTTAGTCGGCTACAGATCTGGTCTCATCTGATTTGTGGTCGCAGATTACAAATGCTTTGGACTGATATTTATTGGAATCGTGTTTGTGCGAAGGTTTATGAGATCAGAGTCTTCAAAGAATAATTGGAGATCGACCAGTGGAGACTAGGGAAGGCCAATTTATTGAGAATGACGGCGTGCGGATCTGACTGGAAAAAATGGACTGTTTGTTGGAGATAACATCAACATCAGAACATCGGTACTCGACACTAGCTAACGCCGCCATGGACAAGCGATTTGTCAGCTTTTTGAAATGAAAAGATTCTTTTTGTTAATTGGAAATTTAGCGGCATCTATAGTAGAGAACGTTTCGACACAGGCTGAAGAGCAGCCGCTCTTCAAAACTTATACCCGGCGGAGTGAATTGTTCCGGACAAATCATTTTGACGTGTCGACAAGGTTTCAGACGAAATAAAGCCACACAATAAAAAACAAGAAATTCCGCAGCAATCGCTCATAGTTTAACTTCCTTTTATCGCAAATCTTTTTTATTACAGTTCTTGCAATCGCCTGCAACGTGTTCTATTAGAGAACAAAGTAATTTTATAAATCTGGTAATCCAGGGGTAATCTGTTCGTTATGTTTCTATTTTGACGAGCTGTCAACTTACAAATGAACCGAACCGTGAAATATCAAGGGGCGTTTTCCAGAATCGTGGGGTTCGCAGGCAAGCGTTTCCTCTTCTCCCCTCCCCCTCCCCCTTCAACCTTTTTTTTGCTTCCGCTCTAACTTTCGCGCAATAACTCGATTGGAGACGCTTGCTACGCAGGCTACCTGAGATCAGGCGTCTTTTTTTTTTTTTTTTGTTTGTTTTTTTTTTGCTTCTTTGGCTCGAGAGGGAAAAAAAATAACGCCTGATACATTTATTTAACAAGCAGTCAACCGCCCCCTAATTTACATAATCTAACGTTTGCTTGACCTGTCATGTTTTTAGCCAATAAGCGTTTACCAAACGGAAATCAAATTTTGGCGCGAATAATGTCTCTTTTGAAATCAGTTTTAGGGAAAAAAAATTTTTAAGTACGTCCGTGTTCAGATGGCGCTTCGTAAAAAAGAAAAAATAATGTGTTGTTTTTGTGATGAAATATACTGCTAGCTGGAGCTGTCGTACCTTTATGAATAGCTACAAATAATAAAGAATTTACTGGTTAAAGCTCGTTGACTTCGTTCTGTACCGAAAGCAGTGGAAAAAAATTAGGCTGAAGCACCATATTTCACGAACTGAAAGGTGTTGTGAAAGCGAAGATCGCTCAGAATAAATCGCAGCATGATTTCTGAAGGAGGAAATACAGAAAAACCAGGTCAAGATTCCATTCATGAATTGATTATTTGAAAAGTGAACCCGTTTGTCGCTTCTGTAACTTGTAGCCGGTATCAAATTGCATTCAAATGATCGGTGAAGTTTTGACTGCAACTGTTTTGGTATACGATGAGATGGTAAATATTTCAATGGATGAAACTTCTATTTAGGCATTCTTCAAATTCAAGAAAACTGAGCGGGCAGAAATTAATTTCATAACGAACTCGCGTGTGTATTCACTGCTCATTACGCAAGCAAAAATGCAGACTGAAATCAACAACAACTAACGGATGGCGTCATTTTGGCCAATCGGAACAGCGCAAATCATCCGCATTGTTTCCTATCCAATCAGAAAAAAGTCCAGATTCTGGCATTTTTACATGTGATCCGACAAAGAAATGTATCATGCCCTCTTCCCGTGAGAGACATAAAGGGATAATAGGGAGAGGGCATGATCTCAGGCTACATTATATTCTACCCACCAAAACCACATCGATTGAGAGGGACTGAGATTGAATTTTGGACACCTTGTGACATGTTATACCAACGAAAGATGCCTACGATGTTTTGATGTACTCGCCTCTCGGCGATACGCCTTTCTTTTGCTTTGAGCTTTATTATATTTGGGAGATCGCGTTCTCGCCAAGAAAGGATGAATATAACGAGTATAACTGTATTTCGGCAAATATTGTACATGAAGTTTTAAAACATGTTTCAGATATTTCATGGGGCTACGTGATACACATCTAGCCCCAAACACTGATGGTGGTCTTGGATGATGTTGAAGTCTACATCCACCAAAACCACTCGACCCGTACAGACCGCACTTTATCAAAACATTACCGAACGATTTACTAGAAAGTTATTGTTAACTAAAACCACGTTGCTTAATAGCTCTGTTACTTACATTTAACTGGTTATCCAAAATTGTCAGTAATAATGCTGCTGTAGTGACAAAAATTTCATTATTAATAACAATTATTTAATTATTTAATGTAATTCTTGTCATAACAGTGGCATTAAATCGCAAGCCCGATTGTAATGTGCCCTGCAACTCTAGATGCATGTCTCAGCGAAATTTTGTATTTAATGGGCCTTAGAATTCAGAAAAAGCCATAACGACACAAAGGAAACATTTGGAAGCGAACTGTTAACAATATTACTAAACGAAATTTATTTAATTATCATTATAATTATAATGATATTGAAAGTAGTATTGTATAATCATAATCGTTTACTGCCTGGTAGACCACCTTGATGGCAGTCTTGTATTCGGTGGTTCATTCCGTTCCCGGGGGGGGACTCCCATATGAAACAGACGGGGATGCTCGTCGTCTCGCTTAGGGGTGTAAATTTTGGATTTTGGTCTCGCTTAGGGTGTTCCAGGCAAAGTGCCATTATTTAAAGCCGCCAAGGTCTCGTTTAGGGTTCCGCGAAGAGACACAGAATTACGCGAAGAGAAACAGAACTCAATTTTCTTTTTAACTTTGTTTGTTATGTCTTTATATCATTAAAACTCATTGCATGTCGTATTTGTGTGTTTTTAAGTGGTCTCTTTTAGGGGTCAAAATTTGCTCAAGCCACGCCCAGATTGGTCTCCTTTAGGGGTTAAATTCCAAATTTCCGACGAGCATCCCCGTCTGTTTCATATGGGAGTCCACCCCCCGGGATTCCGTTGTTGTCTATATTTCACCTTTCAGTGGAAGGAGCATGAACGTAAACTGATGGAGGAAGAGAATGAACGAATTCTGGAGTTTGCAAAACTTCAGCAACAACGAGAAGAGGACAGAATGGAGAAGAAGAGATTACTGGAAGAGGGCATGGCAGCCGTGCAACACGAGGTAAATCCTCTTTGTCTCCTGTACGTGTAATGAACGTTTACAGGGAAATTAACACTCGCAATTGCCAACTCGCAAAATGCTTTGGGCTTTTGGAAGTTACGATTCAAAAGTATATCCTTTAGAAAACATTTGCGAGGAAACAACTCTCCAGTCCTCTGCGAGCAGAGGTTTCTCTCTTACGTTGCTTTTAGCGTTTATATAATCACCTGTTTTCTTATAAAGGAAAATCCTTAAAGGATTCACTCGTTAGATCAATTATAAAAGGTTTAAATCAGTATGGTATCACGCCGTTTAGGATTGTCCGGCCTGTCACCCCTTGCAGTTATTTACAATGATCTGAGGCATTTAAAAGAAATATTCCATGTTTCATATCAGTTACTGTGTTTGATTCTAGCTGTCCAAACAAATCCAAGAAGAGGCTGAAGCAAGAGAGGAGATGGAAAGGTAATGATCGTGCAGTTCACAGATCACCATAACATCAAAGTAACATGTACAAGTTTTTTATATGAGTCATTGTTGTTGCAAGCAGTTATGAAAGTGAAGATAACAGTTATTTTCACATCGTTGGGTCGGAGCTTAGTTTCTAAAACTGGTCTCTTTTTATTCTTAGAATACGAACTGAGCTTTATCTTGAAGAACAAGAAGAACTGGAAAGACAAAAGGAAAAGGTAAAAATAAACAAATAAAATAAAATAAAATCCACTAATTTGAGTGTCAATGTATTGATCACGAAAGTACTAATTGTTGAAGACACTATAATTACGTCACCAACTGGAGACCGGACCGCCATTTTACGTGGTCATCTGAACCACGTGAAGGTTCAGCCTCTTGCACTGCAAAGGGAGTACCTTCATCATTTCTCAGTCATTGTTCCTGCACTGGAAATCGAACCCGCGACTCCGTTCTGCAGTCAAGCGCTCTACCGACTGAGCTAATCCTGCCGCGGTTAAAATGGTTCAAATCAAATCTTCCCGAGGGCACGATTCCCCTCTGATACTTCCCAGTGCTTATGCAGTTTATTCATCTTTTCACGTTGTGCTTATGCGTTCAGTTCGGAGAATTTTCTGCAGGGTACAGTTTTTATCTTGGCGCTCGACTTACAAAGGAAGCGGGGTTAGTCGATCAGCTCTTTTTTTACCCACAGCATTAGAATAAAAATTCTTCCTCCATCTTCCGTATCGTTAACTCCTTGAGTGGTAGAGAAAAGGCTTTAAAACGTCAAGACAGTTTCCGCATCGTCTGTGATAATGTCCTTTATTCTCATAAACGTTTTTATTTTACAAGGAAAAATTTGATACTCATTATACTTGGGCGTCCTCTTTAGAATTCTTCAGCATAACCAGGAGCTTACTTGTTATCTACTTTATAACATACTTTGCCCTTGATTTTTCAGATGGCGATTGAGAACAAGATTCGTCAACCGTTGGACTTACAGGAAACTCGCCGACAGCAGCTCCAGTTTAAGGAGCAGAAGCGGCAAGCAGAGTTAGAAGAAGAGGAGGAGTTTAGAAGAAAAGTAAGAGCAGTTACTGCCATGTAATCCTTGTTTAACTCTTCAAGCTCCAATATTCACATAAAAATAGTCCAGACTGACTTTCGTACTTTTCCTTATATTTAATGAATGAGTTGGGGGAATTTGTTAACAGATCAAAGCACTTTCCCCTTGGTGGTCAATTAATAGGCCACTTCCGAGTTCCAAAGATCCTCACTTTCAAGTTGAGGCCAAGCGCACAACCTTTGTTGTGAAAAATGAATTTTATTTGCATGAGAATAAAAAATTATTTCCAAATCAAAGGCTGAGCACTTAACTTCGTTTTGATACAGAGGCCCGGGGAAACTCGCAAATGTCCTATATATTTGTTATTGTTAGGAGAAAATTGATGTTGGTCACTCTTGGGGCTTAAAAGGTTAAAGACACTTTGCTCATAGATCCCGTTTCAAGCGGTTTAGTTTAACCATTGATGATTCTTCTTTTAGATGCTTGAAAAGTTTGCCGAAGACGACCGCATCGAACAGATGAACGCACAGAAGAGGCGAATGAAACAGCTAGAGCAAAAGAGGGCCGTACAAAAACTGATTGAAGACAGAAGGATTCAGTTCCAGAGAGAAAGGGTAAGGCAGCACTGATCCGTCAACCGTTAGACTACATGCAGCCCCCTAGCGTAACAAAAATCGTCTTTGGTAGACCCTTTTTAAACTTACACTCGACGAACTAAGGAAGAGCTGTTCGTGGGCGCCATCACACCTTTTTAGTAGTCAGTTATTGGATGAGGCTGAGTATGATATGAAGAATTATGCAGATTAAAGAGGGTGTTATCCTCCAAGGCCGAAGACCTAAGAAAAGACCAGCTAAGAAAAAAAGAAGGACTGTTCGTAGGCACGATTACTCCTTTTTAATTTGCAATATCGGAAGGAAAATTCTCTTTCCTTCCTCCATGAAGATTTTTTGTAGTAAATGTTAGAACAATTGGGTTATCATATTTCAATATTCTTTTTAGGAAGCAGAACTTGAGGCTCGCCGTGAACAAGAAAGAATGGAGGAATACAGGCGACAGATTATTGAACAAGAAAGACAGAGACTGCTCAAGGAGCACGCTGCCAATCTACCCGGCTTTTTACCTAAGGTGAGTGTGTCCGCGGTAGCGAGCTGCCCACATTATAATAACATTTGCGTAAATTTAAGAGAAATACTTCCTCCTTGCACTTCTCTCGTATTTTTCCGCATGCTTCAGAAATACTTATATACCCCAACGATGCACATCATCGCTCATGTTTAGAGTCTTCACAGCCAATATTTTAACTAACAAACCACAAATGACATCCTGAGTTAACTGACCAGTTAACTGTCCTATTCTGTTTTAGTTGTCTTTCTGTGCTCAGTCGGAGGTGCGAATCCCGCCCCCTACCCCTTACCCCCTCCGTTTATACAGCGGTTACACTGTTCAAGGAACAAACTTCAAAAAGTGATTGCTTGTCATTTACCGAGTGCTTGTTGGTTTTTTTCTACAGGGGGTGTTACGTGATCAGCGGGATTTGGAGTTATTTGATGAATAGTTCAAAGATGCTTACACGCCAAAGAAAGTTGGATACTTTGATGATGATGACGACGAAAGTTATTAACGTCTTTACTATGGATTTAGAATTCAATGTTTAATTAATCCCTTGAAAGGTTTGTCTGTTATCTCGAAGGGTTAAAAGCACAGTTGTAAATCACAAATCAGTTGTGGCTCCTTTCGTTGATCAAATGAAATTTAATTTTTCTTTTTGACCAGCCTTTGTAACTTACCTTGAAAGACTGTCAAATAAAAATAATATCCATTCTTCTGGTTAAGAAACTAGGTCAGTGTTAACTTGTACATACAATTGTTGAGATACTTGTGTAGTAAAGCTAAGAAATTTGTAGTTGGTTTTCTTTTCTTTTCCGAAATGTTTTTTCGCATTCGAATGGTAAAATGCAATAATTGCTGGAATTAATATTGCAAACCAAAGAAAAGATTGGGAATGTCAACTTTCCAGGATAAATCTATCGGCTATTTACAAGCGCGAGGGCGAGTTTGGGGCTACCGAGAACAACACTAGATAGCGGCTAGATCTGTACTTGACCCCAAAGACTGCATGGCAGGCATTCGAAATGAAAAGGGGAAGAGTTGTTCACGCGCGCTAGGTGAAGGGAAGGCACTCCACTCTTCCCCCTTGCACGCTCGCGCGCCCGAAGTCCTTTCCCACTTCCCTTTCGAAAGCCTGTCACGCTAGTCGAGTTCTGGCCCCTCTCTCTCTAGCCTGCGGATATAGACGTATTTCCGGTCGTCGCTTGTCTCCATCCGATCCGAAAAGTAACTGACACGTAAACTTGCCACAAGTCGCCCTTGCAAGTCATCAGAATCGGACGAAGGACTTTTTCGAAAGTCCATAAGTCACCCAACGCCAGTGTTGCGTGACAGCGAGGAACGGACCAGAACTGGACTACTGTCACGCAGGCTATTGACTCCGGGGAAGGAAGTGACCCAAAATCATAATACAGTGCAACCTCTATTTTTTTTCTTACCCCCGTAATAGCAAAACATGAAAAAGAACCTCGATATAACGAAGGGCCAACGGACTGGCAAAATTTGTTCGCTATAACGAGGTTTCGTCGTATCGAGGTTCTTCTTCATAAATTTCTTTATTTCTGGGGTAAAAAAAATCGTTCGTTATATCGAGGACTTTGTTATATCGAGGTTCCACTGTAACCTCCTGAAAAAACCAAAAGATGGCCGCCGTCAAAAGCTGAAAGCAGATGACCTTGCAAACACTCTACAACGTTGGCAAACGTCATTTCCAGGTCTAATTTGACCATAAACTGACTTAGAAGAAATTTAACATTTTGACTCCAAATCATAGGCTGACTTCTTTGAAAAAATTACGGGATAACCGCAGTCAGGTTTAGTTTGCAAAACTACAACTCACTCCTTTGTCGTCACTGCACGAATACAAACATCGATTAATTTGCCAACTTTCATTAAAGACTGATCGAGTTGGCATAAAGGCAAAAAAAGTTTGAAAAAGTAGGAAGTCAGTTTTCCAGTGAAGTTTCCGTTAACAGGTCGTAAAGGTGTATATAAGACAACCGACTTTCAGAACCGGACAACACGCTATCGAGAATTCCCAGGATTGCCCCCCCAGGGTTAGCTTGGGGTCACTTCCAAAATAAAAATTTTTATGTCTATCCCAAGTTTGGTTGATCTTTCCTAAACGTTTACGACGATGTCTTTTCCATTTGGTTTCAATTTGCCTACTTTTTCGTTTTTTCCCCTAACCCTAACCCTAAACTCTAACCCTAACATCTAACCCCAAACCCTAACCCAACCCTAACCCCAACTTCTAAAATAAATAAATTTTTTGTCTAACCCCAACCGTTAACCTCTAACCCTAGAACGTCTAACGACGATACTAATCTTTTCCATTTGGTTTCAGATTCTCAACCCTTCCCTAAGTTTTCCCTTAGGGTTAAACCCAACCCTAACCCTAGGGTTAAGTTAGGGTTAGAGGTTAGCTTGGGGTGACTTCCAAAATAAATATTTTTTAGTCTACACCAGTTTTAAAGATTTTCCCCTAAACGTCTACGACGATACTAATCTTTTGCATTTGGTTTCAGGTTCTGAACGCTTATCGTTTTCCCAGGAGTTAACCCCAACCCTAACCCTAGGGTTAAGCTTAGGGTTAGAGTTAGGGTTAGCTTGGGGTGACTTCCAAAATAAATATTTTTTTGTCTACACCACTTTTAAAGATTTTTCCCAGAACGTCTACGACGATACTAATCTTTTCCATTTGGTTTCAGGTTCTAAACGCTTATCGTTTTCCCAGGAGTTAACCCCAACCCTAACCCTAGGGTTAAGCTTAGGGTTAGATTAAGGGTTAGCTTAGAGTGACTTCCAAAATAAATATTTTTATGTCTACACAAGTTTAAAACATCTTTCCCTGAACGTTTACGACGATCCCAATCTTTTCCATTTGGTTTCAGATTCTCAACGCGTATCGTTTTTCCAGGATTAACCCCAACCCTAACCCTAGGGTCAAGCTTAGGGTTAGGGTTAGGGTTAACTTGGGGCGACTTCCAAAATAAATATTTTTTAGTCTACACCAGTTTTAAAGATTTTTCCCTGAACGTCTACGACGATACTATTTTTTTCCATTTGGTTTCAGATTCTCAACCCTTATCGTTTTTGCAGGAGTTAACCCCAACCATAACCCTAAGTTAAGCTTACGGTTAGGGTGAGCGTAACCTTGGGGTCACTTCCAGGATAAAAATTTTATCGTCTAAAAAAGTTTAAAACAACTTTCCCTGAATGTCTACGACGATACTAATCTTTTGCATTTGGTTTCAGGTTCTGAACGCTTATCGTTTTCCCAGGAGTTAACCCCAACCCTAACCCTAGGATTAAGCTTAGGGTTAGGCTTAGGGTAAGCTTGGGGTCACTTCCGAAATAAAAATTTTTTTCTCTACACCAGTTTTAAAGATTTTACCCTAAACGTCTACGACGATACTGTTCTTTTCCATTTGGTTTCAGATTCTCAACGCTTCTCGTTTTCCCAGGAGTTAACCCCAACCCTAACCCTAGGATTAAGCTTAGGGTTAGGGTTAGGGTTAGCTTGGGGTGACTTCCAAAATACATATTTTTTAGTCTACACCAGTTTTAAAGATTTTTCCCTGAACGTCTACGACGATACTAATCTTTAGTATTTCGTTTCAGGTTCTAAACGCTTATCGTTTTCCCAGGAGTTAACCCTAACCTTAAACCTGGGGTTAAGCTTAGGGTTAGAGTTAGGGTTAGCTTGGGGTGACTTCCAAAATAATTTTTTTTTTCTCCTCACGAGTTTTAAATATTTTTCCCTGTTCGTCTACGACGATACTAATCTTTTGCACTTGCTTTCAGGTTCTGAACGCTTATCGTTTTTGCAGGAGTTAACCCCAACCCTAACCCTAAGTTAAGCTTAGGGTTAGGGTTAGCGTAAGCCTGGGGTCACTTCCAGGATAAAAATTTTATCGTCTACAAAAGTTTAAAACAAGTTTCCCTGAACGTCTACGACGATACTAATCTTTTGCATTTGGTTTTAGGTTCTGAACGCTTATCGTTTTGCCAGGAGTTAACCCTAACCCTAACCCTAGGGTTAAGCTTAGGGTTAGGGTTAGGGTTAGCTTGGGCTGACTTCCAAAATAAATATTTTTTAGTCTACACCAGTTTCAAAGATTTTTCCCTGAACGTCTACGACGATACTATTTTTTTCCATTTGGTTTCAGATTCTCAACGCTTATCGTTTTTGCAGGAATTAACCCCAACCCTAACCCTAAGTTAAGCTTAGGGTTAGGGTTAGCCTAAGCCTGGGGTGACCTCCAGGATAAAAATTTTATTGTCCACAAAAGTTTAAAACAACTTTCCCTGAATGTCTACGACGATACTAATCTTTTGCATTTGGTTTCAGGTTTTGAACGCTTAACGTTTTCCCAGGAGTTAACCCCAACACTAACCCTACGGTCAAGCTTAGGGTTAGGGTTAGCGTTAGCTTGGGGTCACTTCCAGGATAAAAATTTTATCATCTACACAAGTTTAAAACATCTTTCCCTAAACGTTTACGACGATACTAATCTTTTCCATTTGGTTTCAGATTCTCAACGCTTATCGTTTTTCCAGGATTAACCCCAACCCTAACCCTAGGTTTAAGCTTAGCGTTAGGGTTAGGGTTAGCTTGGGGTCATTTCTAGAATAAATATTTTTTTGTCTACACCAGTTTAAAAGAGCTTTCCCTGAACGTCTACGACGATACTAATCTTTTTCCATTTGGTTTCAGGTTCTCAACGCTTATTGTTTTCCCAGGAGTTAACCCCAACCCTAAACCCTAGGGTTAAGCTTAGGGTTAGAGTTAGGGTTAGCTTGGGGTGACTTCCAAAATAATTTTTTTTTTTCTTCTTCACGAGTTTTAAATATTTTTTCCTGAACGTCTACGACGATACTAATCTTCTGCATTTGGTTTCAGGTTCTGAACGCTCATCGTTTTCCCAGGAGTTAACCCCAACCCTAACCCTAGGGTTAAGCTTAGGGTTAGGGTTAGGTTAGCTTGGGGTCACTTCAAAATAAAAATTTTTATGTCTACACAAGTTTAAAACATCTTTCCCTAAACGTTTACGACGATACTAATCTTTTCCATTTGGTTTCAGATTCTCAACGCTTATCGTTTTTCCAGGAGTTAACCCCAACCCTAACCCTAGGGTTAAGCTTAGGTTAGGGTTAGGGTTAGCTTAGGGTCACTTCTAGAATAAATATTTTTTTGTCTACACCAGTTTTAAAGTCTACGACGATTTTTTTTCCATTTGGTTTCAAACGTTGTTTTCCCAGACGATACCCCAACCTTTAAGCATTTGGTCTTCACGGTTTTAAAGATTTTTCCTGAACGTCTTATCGTTTTGGTTTTAGGTTCCGAACGGTTATCGTTTTTGCCCCAACCCTAACCCTAAGTCAAGCTTAGGGTTAGGGTTAGCGTAAGCCTGGGGTCACTTCCAGGATAAAAATTTTATCGTC